TACTTTTCTGCACTATATTTTATAATTTTAAAGCATACTGTACAGAAAATTATACTTTCCCGCGCTGTTTTTTTAAACTTTGCTTACTACGAAGGAAAGAATACTTTTCTACACTATATTTTATAATTTTAAAGCATATTATACAAAAAAGTTTACTTTTCCGCACTGTTTTTTTTAAACTTTGCTTACTACGAAGGAAAGAATACTTTTCTACACTATATTTTATAATTTTAAAGCATACTGTACAGAAAATTATACTTTCCCGCACTGTTTTTTTTAAACTTTGCTTACTACGAAGGAAAGAATACTTTTCTGCACTATATTTTATAATTTTAAAGCATATTATATAGAAAAGTTTACTTTTCCGCACTGGTTTTCATAACTGCATATACTGTGCAGAAAAGTATATTTTTCTGCACTATTTTTTATAACTTTGACGCATACTGTGCAGTAAAGTACCTCTGCTGCAAAATAACGCAGAAAAAAAACATATAAGTTTCTTCATTAAGGCAACATAATTTTACATTTATTCTCTAAAATGGCGTTTTTTCTAAACAGATCTTACACAAAGTATATATAAATATAATTTTTACAAATGAAGATTATAACAGAGACAATATATGTTAGATGAGAGAAAAAAAAATGTAGAGAAATAAAAGTGAGATGAATTAATTGAGAGTGCTGGTTTTAGTTCTGGTCGGAAATCAGTCCTTGTAAAGAGGCGAATGGGGCTATTCGTGATGCCGTCACGCTGACTGCAAGAGAGCTATATAGGAAGGGGGATGTGCAATGGTGTGCAGGTTTGCTTTCTCGCAAGAGAAAAAGAGAGAAACAGTGAAAGAGAAAGAGAGAGAGAGAGACTCAACTCTCGACTAGCCCTATATGGTCTGGTCGCACAATGCAAGCTGCTTCGAAACCTGCGAACGCGAATTCGAATCGCGGTCCGATCAAATATCGCAATTAAGGGGCCCCGCGGTATCGTTATAACCTTTACATCAAAAAAACAAAATAAAGAACTACTACCAGCATACTAAAATTCTTTTTACAATTATTATTATTATACATTCCTTTCTCTAAACGTCTACAAAAAAAAAAAAAAAAAAAAAACAGTCGATCAATTGTTATTTAATATAATAAAACGCCCGTATGTTTTTTTTTTAGAAAAAAATTCATAAATTCTATTTAGTAAGAAAACTTGTATATAGCAAAAAACAAAATTCAAAAATATCAACAAAAATTGAAAAAGTCTTTTTGACTTTTATTTTGCGTATAAAAACATTTGAAACAAAATATCACGGAAATTTCTCACCGGAGCCTCAGTGGGCGATTTATACATTAAGAACGCCTACTTCTTGATTCATTACATGAAATTAAAATAAATAACTAAGTGCGAAGCGACATTTTAAAACCCTTGGTGGGTAGTTGAGAAAAAAAAAATTAAGAAACATATTTATTAAAAAAAAAAAAAAAAAACATTTACTTTACATTTTAACTTCGCTAAGAAAAACTTCATTTAGAAGCAAATATCGCAAGAATTCTAAAAGGAAAATAATATATATAGTAAAAAATAAAATTAAAAAACTATATTTGCAAAGTTGTTTCAAATAGAAAAAGAATAAACCTATATTTGTATAGAGAAAGAGAGAGAGAAGCGGGAGTAAAAAAGGAAGAATTAAAACGGATGTAATAAGCCATTAGATTCTCATTATATAGCTTTGAGCGGTAGTTTGCGAACAATTTCAATAAATTCTGGTTAATAGCAACAGCTGTATGTTTTTGTAAGAGTAATTTTCGAGAGTAAAGTGAAAGACTGCCACCTGAGTGTGGCAGCACCCTAAGTTATATGTTACTATACTTTTTTTTTTACAAACAGCAAGAGCGAAACAAGTCCGCCTTCACGCGCAGATCAACTCCTATATATATATATATATACATACTCTCAAGACACCCGGAAAGACTTCATTTTTTAAAATTATAATTTTCTCTAAATATATTACTTATCATTAAATTATTAGTTTTATTAATTTCCTATGTACAAGTTGTTCTATATAATCAATCTAAATTATGTCTAATCCACGCATTAACGTGTTATTTCCATGAAATTTAAATTTTCTCCATTTCTGTAATTTTTTTTTTCTTATTTTTGTATTTATTTATTATTTATACATTATTTTTATTATTTATTATTATATTTATTATTCATTATATTTTATTATTTTATATTTATTATTTTTGTATAATATATTAACACGTTCGAAATTAAACTACAAGTGTTAAATTAAAATTTAAAACCGAGAGGAATCGAACCCCAAACACATGACATAATGTAACACCTATATATAAGCGCTTTAACGACTACGACTATCGCCGATTGGAGAATTTAAAATATTCGAACTGTCTACAATAAAACTAAAAATGTTTTTACAATTAAATAATTATTAAAAATTAATTAAAAGTAATAATAAAAAATTAATTATTAATAATTAAATAATATTAAATAATTTTTTATGTATAGTTTCAAATTTAATAATCTAACTCTCTAAATCTGAATTAGTATTAAAAATGTTTACTAATTGAAATTAGTGACTCACTTTTTGCTTCTGAATTAGTAAAATTTTACTAATTATTATGAGTAACTTTTACTAACAATTAGTAAAATTTAACTAATTCTAAAGCAAAAAGTGAGTCACTAATTTCAATTAGTAAACATTTTTACTAATTCAGATTTAGAGAGAAATAAAGAATTAAAATTAAATTTAAAAAATTGCAGATAAGAAATATATGTAAATTTTTTTTTCAATTTACGTAAATCTGAAATTTATGTAAAATGCATATGTCGAAAAATGCGCGCTTCGATTTTCGATTCGTGTGCGCGAATGCAATTGGTTACTTAAAAATTCTACAATCATATATATATATATATATATACAGCGAAGACTTTTAGTATTCTAAGACGACTGCACACTGTCGTCAGCATTGGAAAAATTAAAATTTTTCACAATCGGTACATATCTCTCTTGAATTTATAAAAGCAAAAGTGAGATCAGCGGAAAATTTTTTCCTATACAATATATACTTATATATATATACGTTATATATATACATTATAAAAATATTTTAAAATCAGAACGATTTGATTTAAACAGTTTTCCTTTTTTCTCTATCTGGTAAGAAAAAAATTACGTGATCGAAATTCAAAATTTTCATTTGAATTTCTTATCTTTATTTCTATATATTCAATATTTCTTCTTTATCATATTTTATATCATTTTATTATATTTATATTTATTTTTAAAATAATTTATAATATTAGGTAAATTATTATTATATTATACCAAAATATAAATTTAATTATAATTTAAAAATTATTATAAAAAAAAAATGTAATAAAAAAAAAATAATGAGATTTCTTATATCAAAAGAACGTATTTCTAATATTGATTATATAAAAAATTGACGTGTCTTGAACATGAAATTAAACTGACCTCTGACGATAATGAAAATTCCTTGTGACATTTAATTTTTTTTTTTTTTTTTTATTTTAATTCTGCTCGGTGATTAAACTCTATATTTATCGCGCACTTTTTGTAAGTGAAACTCTCTTTGCAGTGTCAATTTTTTTTATTTTTAAATCAAACGAAAAAAGAGCTTGCAACATTTCCCAAATTAGTGACAATTTATTTTTAAAATGCTTTCTCTAGTTCGACGACCTCAACAACACATTACATTCGCAAATTTCGAGTCCTCTCTTGTCAATCAGAACTCTCGACTCTATTTATCTCAATCTCTCTCTCTCTCTATCTCATTCTTTTCGGTTACTTTTTTTATGTCGGCTCGATTAAACCCCCGAGGTTCAAAGTCTATACTCTAATTTAAAAAAGAATAGAATTTATTTTCCAGTACATGTGACCGTATAACAAAAAAAAATCCTCTCCATAAATCTCTCTAGAATGTCACGAAAAAGAAATGAAATTAAAAAAATTAAAAATAGAAATTTTGAAAACTAAAATATTTTTGCGAGAATTTTTAATTTTCAGAAAAGTAGGTAAATATATTCCCATAGCAATAAAAATTTATTTTCTATCATTTAAATTGATAATTTATTTATAAGAAAATAAATAAATTATTCAGAAGATTGAAAAAAAAACACCTTCTTAGAATGGGTGGGGGATAAATAAATTTTCCATAATGTTACTTTTATCTTGTGTGAGAGAAGAAGAAGAGAATAAATCAGGCAATTACTCTTGAAACTTCCCTAGCAACCCAACGACCTGATTTCACTTCCGTCAACTATTCTCAGAAAAGTGTATTTGCCTTAAAAATTCACGATTCTAATCCTGTGAAGTGATCTTTTTTTAAAAATTTTTTTTTATAAACAAAAACTCGATATCGATAAAATCGAAAAAATAATTTATTAAATAATTGTGGAAAAATAAACTAAATATTAAAAACTCGATATATAAAAATTATTATTAATTAAAAAGCAATTATATAAATTATATTTCAAAAAAAAAAAACATCCCCTTCTGTATGACCTAATTTTTTTCATTAAAATTTAAAAAAAAAACAAATCTACATAGCCTACGAACTTTTGACCTTACACAACAATCCAAAACAAATCGATATAAAAAATAAGAAACTATGTCAATTTTATATTTTCAGGTCAGTTAAATAAGTTTTTAAAAAGAAGTATATTTTTTTTAAAACTTTTCGACAAAAATTTGAAACAAATAATAGTCTTTGATGTACTTCATCTTTTTCGAGTGATCTTATTGTAAATTCTAATATATTTTCTTTAGTCGTACAAAAGGTAATTTTGTCTCTAAGGTGAGGTTTTTTTTTATTGCGTTTGGTAAGCTCTCGTCTTTTAAAGGTACTTTAGTAAAAAAAAAAAAACGGAAAAAAAGTTAGCTTTCGGCCATTTTGGTTCACTCTCTAATACCAAGCTTTTCATATACTATATATATATATAAGATGACATTGTGACATAGAAGACTCACCCCTTAAGGCATCCGCTGTGGTTGCCAAAAGACCCTGGAGACTTCGACTATGATGATGGATCAGGTTGTGAAAATCCGCTCTCGCCTGATGTTGAAGATGCTCCTCTGCCTCTCGATTGCAGCATTGTCCATTGCAGATTGCTGAAAGAAAAAAAAAACCCCCAAAAATTAGCAACAATTTATAATTTTTATTAAATTATTAAGCTAATAATGAAAAAAAAAAAGAGAGAGAAAAAAAAAGTTCGAACAATAAAATAGATTGTATTTCCGGCTTGCATATACAAGAGTTTGAAAAGAGGATTGAGAGAGAATTCGCATTCGCAATAAGGGAATAAAGTAGCGTCTCATTTCGCATTTTCAAGACGAGGTTTCAATTCAGATTCGCATTACAACGCTTCCTTTCCATCGTGTCAAAGTATTATCCGCACGAACAGTATCCATTTGCCTTCGTGTAATATTCATTCATTCTATTGCACGGTCATTCGTCCATTCATCGCTTTCTCGACTGGCCTCCTCTCTCTCTATTCACATATATATATATATATATATATATGATTCATTTTTATTTTTATTTTTTCTTTTATTCTCTCTTTTTCTTTACTTTTATCACGTTTGATACCGGACGATGATACAACATTTGAATATGCAATATCAGCTTTTAAAATAATCCTTAAAAAATAATCACACTATTTTATTTATATTCTTTTATATAAAAATCATTATTAAAAGATTAAAGTAGTTCAATAACTTAAACTTAAACTGAAGAAAGAAAAATTTATTTTGTCTCAAAATTCTGGTCGATATTTCAAGCAATCGAATATAAAAAAAAATTTTTTGATGTTTTTAACATATATAAACAACTAGCTGTCGCACCCGTCTTCGACGGTTATAATATTTAGATTTAATAAATTTTGAAATTTATAATTACATCCAACTATACGTGTTCTCCTGTATTAAAATATCTTTTTATAAATTTTTAATTATTATTTATTCAATTCAATTTAATTTTTTCACTGCTTTCATATATAAAATTTAATTATTTTCATTTTATTTAAAAGAAATTTTTCTATTAAAAATTTATTCTTCAAATAATTTTTAAAGTTTTTTGAAATTTTAATTTAAATTGTCTTGATTCAAATAATTTATATTTTCAATACTATAAAATTAAATACAATTTTAAATTATTTTCATTTTATTCTTCTAATTTTTAAACGATTTTAATTTTTTTAAATTTTAATTATAATAATAAAAATATTAATTTATTTTAATTATTCAAATAATTATAAGTATATATTTAAATTAAAATAATTTATTATAAATAGAAATTTTATAATAAATATTTAAAAAATTATTTTATTATTTTTATTCTTACATTTTTAAAAGAAATGCTCAATTTCAATACATTTTTCAATTACGATAATTTAAAAATTATGGTTATGGAATTTTTTAAATTGAAGACAATTTCACTCTTAATAACATCATTCATTTATAATTTTGACAGATTGAAGCATCTTCAAAAACAATATTTGAATTTTGTCGAAACAATAATAATACTATTCAATAATAATAATAATAATAATAATAATTTAAATATAATAATTATTAATTTCAAAGAGTAAAAAAGTAATTTTCGATTTTTTATTTTTACAATATCTGATTTCATATTCAGATTTGCAATTATTAATTTTAAAATTCTGATAAAATTCTTAAATTAAAATTCTTAAAATTTCTTGCTAAAAGCATACTTAATTGGTCACAAAATTTTAAATAAAGAACGTTTAGTAAAGAATTATCAAAAAATAAAAAATGTTAAATTTTAAAAATTTTTTGAAAGTGTCATATTTTTGTTTAAATTAATATTTTTCATTGGTGTGCAGCTAAGATTGCGTTTAATACCCAACAGACTAAAAACATTGTTTTACTTATAAAAAGTTGAACATAACGAATTCTTATATTACAATGTTATTAAAAAAATGGAAATTCAAAAATTTGATTTAGACTTTTAAATTCAGACTATTTACTTAATTTAATAAAAAAATTGATTGTATTTATGTGAAAAAATTAGGTACAAATAGTTTCAAATCAATCTGACAAAAAATAAAAAATTTGCATTTTTTTGATTTTTTTAAATTTTATGAAAAAATGTCATAACTTTCGTTCATGTTTATATTTTTTAATCAAATATGGCTAAGATTTTAAGTTACGTTAAGACTGAATATACTGCCAAGTTTCACCTCAATCGGTTGAGCCGTTTTAAAGTTGTGCCGGTACAAAATATTGACGACAGACAGACAGACAGACAGACAGAATTTTTATTTATGGCATATTTGTTATCTTTACTACTTAAAATGATAAACTATGCAAGAAAAAATTAATTTGGAGCAATGTACAGACAAAAGTCTGATTTTATTAATATAGATTATTATTAAATATTATTATTTGACAAGATAAATATAATTTTTTAAAATATTGTGTACATCTTTAAATTAGTAGTAAAATTTTATGTTTGCGGTTGGAAAATCAATTTTTAGTTTCAGTTTAAGTTATTGAATAAAAAGAAAAGAGATAAGGTAGAATAAATTTTTTAATTTTACAAAAAAAAAAAAAAAAAACTGTTGGTTTGATCAATCAAACATTTTTGTTGACCTATAACAAAAAAAAATTTGGTTGAGCTAACCAAACATTTTTGGTATGCCAACAAAAAGAATTCAACCAAATTTTCTGGTTGACTCAAACAAAAGTTTGGTTGCTTAAATACCAACAAAATTTTTTTATTGGCCCAACCAAATTTTGGTTGCTCTGACTAAACATTTTTCTCAGTGCGAAATTAATTAAAGTTTACAATTTGCGTGCGTAAATTATTACTAAAATAACATCTCTTACACAACAATGAGATAATTCTTCTCGCAATATTTTTAATTAAATTCAATTATTATTAAAATAAAAGAAGAAAATTACATGAAAAGGTTAATTTTTTTTTTTGTTTGTAGGTCAAATTAAACTTTTATTGGATGATTAAAGTTTTATTTGTCGCGTCACTTTTTGAGGTTAATTGCTAATTAGTATAGATAATTTATAATTGAATTATTATTAAAAAAATAGTTGTTTTTTTTTTGAATAATATCATGCAGATTCCAATCAGTTTAGTCATATTGTTAGGTGCGATTTTCTGATGGTTATTATTATTATTATCGAGGGATAATTGTATGTATAAGAACCCCTCGTTGAGCATGGGTTTCTACATCCTGAATAATTATCCTCATATATATATATATATATATATATATCATATACATCTATACTTCGCGTGATATGCTTTTGCAAATTCCAGGAAGGATTAATTTCTCGCGTGACATGCCTTTCATCCAATTGGCAGATCGTCGACTTTACACCAAAAGTCACGCACACTAGAAAAGTGAATTTTTGATTCTTTTACAAGTTCACTACCCATTTCTCTGTTTTTATCTTTTTTTTTTTCAAAATCTGAAACTTTGTTTTTTGTTTTACAATTTTTCTCCGTAAAAGCTTCTCACAATAAAAAGGAATCGTGACTTCTTTCCTTTTATCAAGAAAATAAAAATTATTCTTTTCAAATATAGCTTTAGTGTCTATGAATCAGAATTTTTTTTTTTTTTTTTTTTTGTTTAAAAAAATGTCAAAAAATTTATATTGAATGATTCGCAGTTATTTTTTTAAAAAAAGATACTTGAATATATATAAAACATTTCACAGTAAATTTACAAATGTGAGGTTTTAAAAAAGCTATTCTCTTTATATATTTCTCATGAAATCCAACAAAAATAAATTTGATTTGCCTGATGTCAAACTCGTAAAAAATTTTATTTGAATCGCAAAAATCTTTTTATATTGCGCACGCAAAGAAAGAAAAATTTATTTTGTCTCAAAATTCTGGTCGATATTTCAAGCAATTGATTTTTCAAGCAATTTATTTCATTATTTATTTATCAATTTAACATTGAATTTATATTTATCCAATTGAAATATTTATGGACTTTCACTGAAAAAAAAAATTCTGGTTATATTTAACATTACTTTCTAGTTATGTTAACCAGAATTCTAGTTGAATTAACTAGAATTCTCGTTAAAATAACCAGAATTCTGGTTAACCTAACTAGAATCAAAATGTTAAATATACCCTAACCAGAATTCTGGTTATTCTAACTAGAATTTTTTTTCAGTGTTGAAAAATCTCTCTGGGATCGAACCTCTGTTTTAAAACTGAAAGTCGGGAGCTCTGACCACTGGACTATACCCATATCCTTGTGAGAGATATAAAACTGTTCTCTTATAAGCTATGAGCTGAGAGCGAATCAAACTATTTGGTTGTCGCAACCAAATTTTGGTTAGAACAACAAACGATCATTTGGTTTCTTAGACCAAACTATTTTGTTGTGTTAACCAAGTTATTTTATTGTCGTAACTAAATTTTGGTTGGAATTTAAAAATGTTCAAATAATTTTGTTGGCCTAACCAAATGTTTGGTTGAGATAACCCTATGACTTTGTTTTAACCAACCAAAATTTGGTTACAAGAACCAAAATTGTCTAACCAAACAATTTTGTTGCAAACACTAAATTTTTTTTTCGCAGTGCGAAAGTATTTTTTTCATAATATAAAAAGAGGCTAAATATAGAAACTTGATGATAACGAATAGTAAATTAAAGATTTCTAATTGCAATGATTCACGATTCACCTAAAATCTCGTGGCCATGTAATACTCGGATTTTGCGGGTCAAAGGTCATGGATAGGTCTCGAACTATATATTCTATATAAGAGTCTCGCTAATGCGACCCTCGAGACATTCAAACATTTCTATATCTTCTCCTTCTTCATTTTCTTCATCACTATATACAATCTACTAAATTACAAACCGACCTATTTTAAATCTTTTGCCCTTTTACACTTGCATCCACCTATTTATACTATCTTTTTTTTTTATTTTTTTTTTCTTTTTGACGTGACGTCTAAGAAGTCAGTCAGAAAAATTGCTAAAATTTTGCACTGGAATAATATCCATCACAATAATTGATCAGAGTAAATCAATGATCTCTCTCCGAACTAATAAAAATGTTTACTAATTTGAATAAGTGACTCACTTTTTGCTTTAGAATTAGTTAAATTTTACTAATTGTTAGTAAAAGTTACTAATAATAATAATTAGTAGTAAAATTTTACTAATTCAGAAGCAAAAAGTGAGTCACTAATTCAAATTAGTGAACATATTTACTAACTCAGATTTAGAGAGTAATTGTTTTTGGATAAATCATTGACAATTTATTCTAATTTTATGCACTGAAAAAAAATTTATTTGATTCAAATACACTCGATTATACTTGACTATTATCAAATAAATATTTATTTGTATCAAATAATTATTATTTGAATCAATTAAATGGCATTTATTTCAAATACAGAAATTATTATACAATTTATTTAATTCAAATAAAAATTTATTTGGTTCAAGTAAATATTTATTTATAATAGACAAGTAATTAAACCGATTTTTTTTTCAGTGTAAGTACAAAATAAATAATAAAAATCTTATAAAATTTATTTTAATTCAAAAAAATGGTTGTCACGATCAAAATTCTCCGTCCGTGTAATAAATACAGAACCCTCACTTTAATTTTTATTTTAATACTATGGGCGCCAGTGCGCAAGCATTAATTAGAATTTTGATTTGAAAGAATTTTATTAGATATATAATTATATTTTAGACGAATTTTCATTTTTCGAATTAGAATTTGACACAATTTCTCTTTACACAAATTTTTATTGTACAAAATTTTTAAAACGCCGAATTTTTATTTATCCGAAATTGCAAATGGCCGAATAAACAATCAACAGAAATATTTCGGCGTACTTTTTTAAAATTGACCAATCACGATTTTCTTGATAATTTCTGATTGGTCAATTTTAAAAAAAGCGCAGTAATTTTTCTGATGATTGTTTGTTCGGCCATTTGCAATTTCGGACAAATAAAAATTCGGCGTTTTAAGAATTCTGTACAATAAAAATTCGTTTAAAGAAAAATTGTGTCGAATTACAATTCAAAAAATGAAAATTCACCTAAAAAATAATTATATCAATAAATTTCTTTCAAATCAAAATTCTATAACTAATGATTTTTATGGGATAAAGCGCCACCTAAATTTAAATTACTAACTAATTTTTAGTAAAATACTACACTAATTGAAAAAGATTTTAGTTACTAAAATTATATAGTAAAATGTTAAATGTAAATGTGGAACCGATGGCATAACAATAGAATATAATTTTACGCCGTAGCTGTACTCGACGTTTGTTAAAACCGATAAAGAACACTAGGAGCGCCACTTTTGTGTGTCACGTGACTCGCTAATTTGAATTACTTAGTAAAAATTGGCGCCATAAAAAAAATTCTTTCTAATTTTAATAAATTATTATTTTTGCATAAACATTCTATTATTAGTGAAAATTTATAAATATTATAATTATTTATAGTAGCAAAATATAAGAATTAGTTAATTAAACTGATTCTTTTTTCTCACGATTCAATTATAATTGAAAAAAACTGAATCACTTTAAATAATAAAAATATGTGCGAAAAATTATAACCCGCATTGTTAAATATAAAAAATTAATTTTTCCCTTTTTAAACATGAAAATAAATTAATATATTTTTTTTTATATATAAACAACGCGTAACGCTAATGAAGGTAATTACAACCTTTAATATTCTTTTCACGCAAAGAGTGTATATAAGAAACACTTCTTTTGCCTGATGCTTGTTTCATTGACGATGAGAACAGAATTCAAAAGTGCCTGCTTCTGTACTTATTTATTAGGCGTGAAATGTGCTTAAACGAGTTAAGTATGGTTATATGAGCCAGATAAAAATCTTAATTCGGTTTAACTAAATGATGTCGACCTTGAAAATCACGCAACATAATTTTAGGTGTCACTTTTAATTTTTATTTAAAATGATGATTTCTTATATTCCATCTCAAAAAAAAAAAGAAAAAATTGAATTTGTCTCCTCTCTTTTTTTGCAATAAGATTTTTTTTTACTTATACTTAAAAGAAGAGGGGAATTTAGAACAATGACATTTTACAATTTAAGTTGGAAAATCACGTCAGCATAATATATAAGTTTGCAAAACGTTTAAATTTATTTATGAGAGCGACCTATTTATTTGACTCATCAATTTACTTTAACTTGATGCAATTTACTTTAAATTTCGAAACGCGCGCGCAATATATATATATATATAAATATATAAACGCGCTTAAAAGTCAGGGTGCCATAATGAAGGGAGACGACAACGGGATGTTGGGAAGGTAAATGCTCCAAATTAAAACCGGCAATTGTCTGCACTTAAGTTCTGATGCGCGCAGCATCCCTCTCGGGTAATAATGTTACTACAACTTCCTTCTCATCTCTAATATCACTTCCCTTGGTCTTGATTCATCGAATTCGTTTTCATTCGTTAATTTCTCCTTCACTTAATCTTTTTCCCCTCTTATCTTCTTAAAAACAATTCACAATAATAATAATTGCAAAAAAAAAAAATTATTATTTTAAACATTTTTATAATAATTATTAGAATTAAACTCAATTTAATGATTAATTAATAGAAAAAAACACATTTTCCCATATTAGGTCACGTGGGAGGTTCCCACATACCCTTAAACAAATTTTTATTGTACAGAATTTTTAAAACGCCGAATTTTTATTTATCCGAAATTGCAAATGGCCGAATAAACAATTTCGGCGCGCTTTTTTAAAATTGACCATAATCACGATTTTCTTGATAATTTTTGATTGGTCAATTTTAAAAAAAGCGCCGTAATTTTTCTGATGATTGTTTGTTCGGCCATTTGCAATTTCGGACAAATAAAAATTCGGCGTTTTAAGAATTCTGTACAATAAAAATTCGTTTAAAGAAAAATTGTGTCGAATTACAATTTAAAAATTGAAAATTCATCTAAAAAATAATTATATCAATAAATTTCTTTCAAATCAAAATTCTATAACTAATTATTTTTATGGGATAATCATGAGGCCCCCTAAATTTAAATTACTAATTAATTTTTAGTAAAATACTACACTAATTGAAAAAGATTTTAGTTACTAAAATTATATAGTAGAATGTTAAATGTAAATGTGGAATCGATGGCATAACAATAGATTATAATTTTACGCCGTAGCTGTACTTGACGTTTGTTAAAACCGATAAAGAACACTAGGGGCGCCACTTTTGTGTGTCACGTGACTCACTAATTTGAATTAGTAAAAATTGGCGCCATAAAAAAAATTCTTTCTAATTTTAATAAATTATTATTTTTGCATAAACATTCTATTATTAGTGAAAAATTTATAAATATTATTATTATACTAATTAAGAAATCATAATTAAATTTTTTAAAAAACTGCTATTATTATATATTTGATGACATTGTCTCCAAAAGCGCCTTCTAGGAACGGTTTAGGAGAGAAAATTTTTTTTTGAAAAAATTGGAATCTTTGAATCATGCAAATTGGCGCTATTGCCCCGCGTATATAGAGTCGACATTCATATGCCTCGATACCTAACTTTTACCCTTGCTTAACCAAACCGAATGGAAGGTTTGCAAAAAAAAAAAAAAAACAAAAAAAAAAGAAGAGGTGGAAGAAAAAAAAATGAGAGGAAAGAACGAAAGGAAACGAGGGGTCGGTCAAACACTTTACGATGCGTCAGGACTGCGGGTGTGGCAAAGGATCTCATATATGTATATATAAGTCGCCCAACGTTGCCCTTTTCTCACGGTGTACCTCACAAGAACTTCATATATATATATACATATACATACATAGCGAGAATACAACGACTTTATGGGAATCTTTGATGGCAGTAAAGGCAAAAAATCGAACACTTTAAATTTTTTAAAATTTTAATCCTCAAAATTCGTCTATATTAAACTATGTTATTTATTACCTTTTTTATTTCCACCCCGCGTAAAATCTCTACAATTTCTGAGAAAGGCTAAGAAATTTTTTTTTCTTTCTCGTACTTTCGAAAGTTTAAAAAAAAATTTCCTTCCATTATGCCGAAAATAAAAAAAATGTATTAATTAAAAAAATTTTTTTAAAAATAAATTTAATATTATATATTAGAGTAAATTGCATCAAGAAAATTAAAAGTAAAAAAAAATTGTCTATATTCCTTTTTTGGTAATAATATATATTACATAATATATCAATTTTCTTTAAGAGTGAAAACTGGAGCACATCCAAAATTTATAAGGTTGTGTCATTTTTTTTTTTTTTTTTTTTTTTGCGATCGTTTGCCATTTTTAATGCTTGCGTCACCAAAATAAATCAGAAAATTTTTTACTTTCGTTAATACCAAATGTACATTGAATTAAATGAAACTAAACGAGAACCTGAGGATTTAATAGCCGGAAAGAGAGGAGACAGTATTTAGTGCGGATGTATCGTAAAAAGCCCTTTTTTTAAAAAAAAAAAAAGAAAAAAATATTTGAAACTGATACCAAAAGTAATAGTCTAAAAGAGAAGAGAAAATAAACGTTTAAAAAAAAACCCCATTTTTTTCACTTGAAAAAATCGAAAAAAATAAAATATAAAATAATACAAATCAATTAATTATTTGCATTATAAACACCAAATAGTGACAAAATGTTTTTTTTGTGACACCAAAAAAAATAGTTATTAAAACCGCGCGCGCGGTGATACTTTTCTTTCATTATTAGAAAAAAAGGGGGTAATTGTCAACAACTATTATCCCTATTGAAATTCCTAAAAGTAAACGACGATTGAATTTTTATTCGGTGTATATATATTTTCAAGGACAACCATTTAACTTCAGAAAGCCGAAAGAATTCGACCCTGAAAGAACTCGGAAAGAAAGAATGAAAGAAAGAGGCGCGAAACGTGAGAGAAACTCGCGCAGTCCAGAGAAACAATGCCGACACAAGATGAAAAAATAAAAAAAAAAAAAGGCAAAATAACAATGAAATACTCACTGTCTGCATTCCCAAGTGGTTCATCAAGCGTTATTATAGTTATATTTTGACTATCAAAAAATGTTTTAACACTATGACAATTATCAAACACACTGTCATTAATTTGTTTAATCGTTCGTCGAAAACGTGTGAATCCCACGATATTATTGCACAAACACAAAATAATCACCAGTAAAAATGGAATCGATATCACGAATTTCTTAAACATTTTGATGTTTTTTTTTTTTACAAAGTATTTAAAAAAGGGGAAAAGGGTGGTTTAAAGAGGTTAGTTCCTCCACCGGCACCGTGAATTCTTCTCGAGTGTCATTAACTATTTTTTTTTTTTTTTTTTTTGTTACGCCGGTTATCCTTTCGGTGATGCTGTCAAACAATAATTTGAATACGAGACATTAAACGCGAGATTGACATTTGAAGATGAAATTGTTATGCACACATACTGTTTAATCACTAAAACACTGACAACTCGCGAAATTTCCTTTCGCGGGCAAAAGGCACCTTCGCACACGAAGACACATGCACGCACGCATGCACGCACGTCGCGCGTCTTCGGATAACTCAATGCAACTGTGTGTCACCCTGGAACGAGTGAATTGAGGAACCCTCGGTTTATGAAACAGAAAATCACCGGGCTGAGGGAGAGAACATCTCAAAAACAATAAATAAACTAACTCAGTGCGACATCTCGTGTGATTCTTGAGAACTAACACTGTTGGTAAAATCGCAATCTACTTTATCAGTTGTCAAATTTTATTATATTTAATTTATCAAATCTTAATTAATTTCATAATTATTAAAATAGTAATTAATAATTAACTATAAATTTAAAAAATTATTTAAAATGTAACGTTTTTTTAATTTTCAAATTAAATTTTTTTTTTCAATTGTTTTTATTTAAAATTATTTATTTATCAATTTTATTAATAAGGAGTAAATTAAAAAATATTTTAAATGTCATTTTTTTATTTCGATTTATGCGAGGTTTTTGATAACGATGTTTACGTTGAAAAAAAAATAATCGAAGTAGTGTCAATAAATTGTAAAACAATGAAATTTCGTGACATAAATTCCCTTTTTACTGGCGTCATTAAAAAATCATTCAATTGTCAATAATTGTAACGAAGAAATCATGAAAAATTGTTTCTCAATTCACTCAAGTCAAAAATGAAAATTTGAACTAAATTGATGAAAATTTATAAAAATAGAAAAAAAAATTAATTAAATAATAGAAAAAAAATATTCTCTACCTTTTTTTTTGTTTTCTTACTACAAGAATGTGATTTTCGTTCTTGCTTGATTGACCTGGAAAATCCCAAGACTTTCATATTCTTCAATAACATCATTAATTTGATTACGATCAAATCCTTTGTTGGTACATCTTTCCATAATTTTCGAGACCTTAACTTCTTTATCAGTAGCAAGTTCTTTTATTAAATCATAAATTCTTTTAGTTGTTGTCGTTTGTGCATCTCTTGGTCCAATATTTTGTTCCGTACAATTAATTGAATGTTTTGACATTGCCAATAATCTATTTGCCTCTTCAACATCATCTTTATCAACTTCTTCAGATAATCGAAGACGAGCTAATGCTATTGCCAAACGTAATATACCCAAAAGATTTCTTGCCGATGTAAATGTTTTGTCTTTTTTATTACGAGCTTCTGATCGCATATCAACATAGCTTCCTGTAATTAAAAAAAAAATTAATTTTCTAATAATCAACAAAAAAGGCATAAATTATTTCATTCAATGAGAAAACAAAAGATGATTCTAACCAACAATAAAATCTGTTAAATCTTCAGGCACTGTTGGCGATATTTTTTTACACATTGCAATATATTTTCTCATTATACTCATGTCCAATGCTTCAACTTCTGTCACTGGTTGAGCAGAATGACGATGCACATATGTTATATGTTCAGCTAATCTGAAAATAAATAATATACAAAATTAAAGAATAGTAAAAAATAAATAAATAGTAAAAAAAGAAAAAAATTCTTTACTTGAGATCATTGTCGCGATCAGCACGATCTAAAATAAGCCAAAGTAAATCAAAACGTGACAATAGTGCAGGTGGAAGTTGAATATTTTGTTCAATTGTTCTTTTTGTATTGTAACGTCCATATGCTGGATTTGCTGCCGCTAAAATTGATACACGGGCATTTAAACGTGTCATTATTCCCGCTTTTGCAATAGATATTGTCTGTTGTTCCATAACTTCGTGAATTGATGTTCTATCGGCGTCAGCCATTTTATCAAATTCATCAATACAACAAACGCCTTGATCGGCCAATACAAGTGCACCACCTTCCAACATCATTTGACCAGTCAATGGATCTTTCATTACAGCTGCTGTTAAACCAACTCCCGATGAACCACGTCCCGTTGTATACTGTGATCTTGGCGATAATCTCGTTATAAACGACAATAATTGAGATTTTGCCACACCTGGATCTCCCATTAAACAAATATTTATATTTCCTGTTAACAAAAAAAATTTTAATTAAATATATTTATAAATTATTATTTTATTTATTTTTAATGAAAATCTTTTACTAAATTTTTTTTATCCATACCTCTGATTTTAATGTCACCTTTCTTCTTATCAGTTCCTCCAACGAGAAGTAAGAGAAGAGCTTTTTTCACATCTTCCATGCCATAAATTTCCGGCGCAATCGAACTTGCTAATTTATCATAAAAATCAGAACCTCTAAGCACAGCTAATTCTTCTGGCGTTAATACAGAATCCGAGTCATCTTTTGTTTCGGCATTACTCAAACAAACTACACTCTGGAAATTTATACAAAGAAAACATTTTTTTTATATTCTAAGAAACAAGAAAAAAAAAAGTTTCAAGTAAATTTAAAAAAAAAGGAAAACAAATATTTTAAATTATCTTTCTCACATGAGCATCGATGAAAGTTTCGCTGAGAAGTCCCGCTGCATTTCTTGCAGTAAAACCACTTTTGGTGAGAGGAAGAAATATTCCGGTGACAAGAACATGATCTCCTGGTTGACAGCATCTTGTGGTTTCTCCACGACAATAAATTGTCACCGATCTAGGAATATGACCAACTGGTACTTGATCGCTCTACAAAGAAGACAAATTATTAGAAAAAAAAAAATTTTAATCTCAAATTTTTCTAAATAAAAAAAAAAAATAGAAGAAAATTTCTCACATGTTCCTGCATTTTTACTTCTTGAAATTTGACAAACTTTGAACCTTTAGTTTGCATAACGAGTCTTCCACCTGATTTATTCACACGACAATCCTCAGTTGGACACGATTTAAGTGGCATAAAAGTCATAGAATTTATCTGTCAATTAACATTAATTATTATAATAACTTGAAAAAAAAATGCTAATTAAATTAGTTTAAAAAAATTTAATCAATGTTTTATCAAATTAAAATTATTAGAAATTCACTGTTTTAAACGATTATTTTAATAAAATGAAACTTCGATTTTTAAAAACGTAAAATTCTTACGCATTGATAAGTTTCAGCACCGCATTGATCACAAGTGTAAGTTGCAACAACAACCATTGGTTTCACTTCTGTACATCTGGTAATAATTCCTCGAACTGTTACAAGTTTACCAATTTGCTCGGCTTTTACATCACGAACCGATTGACCTTTTTCATTACCGAAATTTTTAAAGTAGACTTCACTGAAATAAAAAAAAAATTTATTTTCACTACTCTCTACATGTAAAATAATTCAAAACAAATGAATTTATAATAAACGATAGAAAAATTATATTAAAAATTAAAAAAAAAAACCTACAATCGACGCATAAGTTCTGGTGCATATCTATTCCTTGGATCTCTCTGTTCTCCAGGATGTTGATTACGTGCTTCCATAAGCATACGATGTTCAATATAAACATCTAAAGCATCCTTGGCAGGAACAGGTCTTTCTTTAAAATCAGGAAGTATATCTTGAATGAGCTGTTTGAAAAAAAAAAGTATTATTTTATAAAAATTATCAACCAATTTAAACATAAATCAATTTATTTAAAAGTTGAAATTAAAATTCCACCTCAAGAAGCATGTTGACGTATCTTCTTGTATTTGCAGCAACAATCGCAGCGAGATCATCATCAAATTCTTGAAGATCATCCAAATCAATTGTAAATGCAGTTTCTTCACGATGAGCAATTTTTGTAAGTTGCTCTCGATATTTAAATCTCTTGTCTCCAGTTTTGTCGTCCATTTTCATGAACTCTGTTAAAAAGAGTCTGAAGGTTTCTAAAAAATAAAAATTCGAGAAAATTAATTTACAAATTCTTTAAATATTCTAAAAAAAGAAAATTGTCTCATTTTAATTAAATTAAAAGAGGTTATTCTTTTGATATAGTCAAAAACTTGGAAATTATATTAAATAATTAATAATTAATTATACTTGTAAATTAAAATTTTTTTATAGGTTAAGTTTGAGTTCTTAAAATTCTACTCATTTTTAAGTAGAAATAAATATTTTTCTCTATTAAAATGATTAAAATTCAACAATTATTTATGAAATCAAATAACCTACAAATGTAATATTTTTGTAAACGACAAATTATTTGCAGGGAAATAATAAATCTCTCTTTTACGAATGCTAAAAAGTATCAAGAAAACAAAATTTTTGCAATTTTTTAATAAAATCAATTGTTTTCATATTATTCAGTATAAGAATGAAATATAATCGCTCTTTTTACATAAAATTTTCAGAGGGAATTTCTTTAGAAACATAAAAAAATAACTTACCTTTATCTTTATCAAAGTCTCGTAAAGTTCTTGGCGCCATGATGAATGTTAATACTTTGTTAGTTGTAAAATTAAAGTACAAAACAATTGAAAATTAATTCTAAATAAATAAACAGCACGTCTTTCAACAGTTTTTTCACTTCTTTGCCCTCAGCGTCTCTCCATTACTGTTTTCCACTGGCTTTTCCCGCTTAATTCGTCTCACTACTGCCAACATAAGCAGCGCGCGAAAACTGCTGATTTTGAAAAAAAAAAATATATTTTATAAAGTTACATTAAAAAAATAAGTAAATTTATATTAAAAATAGATAATAATGATAAATAGTGAAAAAATCTACAACAATAAATAAAAAAAAACCTTCGATTTTTTGGAAATTATTTATAATAAATTTTTTAGTGTTAATTTTTCAAGGTTGGCAATAAAGATAGCATTTCTCCGGAAATAGAGGCGCTACGAATCTCTAATTTCCTGTGTGAATTCAGATTAGACTGGGTTAAATTTTCCCCACGTGTTTTTATTTTGCAATTGTTTTGACATTTAATAATTATTAAAATCAAAAATAAAAATGGGAAAAGCAAAGAAAATTAAAGTATCGAAAGGAGACAAAAATATACCAAAACTTGGACTTGCTGAACAAATTGAAGATGATAAAGCAGTAAAAATGAAAAATAGAAAAAAAGTCAGAATTCGTAATGATGAAGACGAAGAGGTTAGAATATTTTCGATTTTTTTTTAAATTCATTTTTTTCTTTCTTTAAAAAACAATGATAAAAAATTAAATAAATTCACAGGTTGTTGATTCAGCGTTAACACAAAGAATTCTTTCACAAGCACGTAGACAACAAATGGAAATAGAAGAAGAACACGGTTTGGGAAATAGTTCGAAAAAAACAACAAAACGAATAACAAAACTTGGCGATGATCTTAGCGATTCAAATGATGAATTAAGTGATAATGATGAATTTCATAATAATGAATATTATGAGGATATTGTTATTAATGAAGAAGATGAGAAGGCATTACAAATGTTTATGGATCGTGATCGTGCACCAGCGCGAACACTTGCTGATATTATAATGGAAAAATTAACTGAGAAAAAAACTGAAATTGATACACAATTTTCTGATATTGGTTCAATGCAAATGCAAGATTTAGATCCACGTGTTGTAACAATGTATGAGGGTGTACGCGATGTACTTGCAAATTATCGTTCAGGTAAATTACCAAAGGCATTTAAAGTAATACCAAATTTACGTAATTGGGAACAAATTCTTTATATTACTGATCCATCAAAATGGTCAGCGGCTGCAATGTATCAAGCATCAAGAATATTTGCATCAAATATGAAAGATAATATGGCACAAAAATTTTATAATTTAGTTCTATTGCCACGTATACGTGATGATATTGAAGAATATAAAAGATTAAATTTTCATTTATATCAAGCGCTAATGAAGGCATTATATAAACCCGGTGCATTTATGAAGGGTTTTTTGGTTCCTTTATTGGAATCAGGAAATTGTACATTACGAGAAGCTGTTCTTATTGGTTCGGTAATTACAAAAAGATCGATACCAATTCTTCATTCAGCTGCGGCTATTTTAAAAATTGCCGAAATGGATTATACCGGGGCAAATAGTATATTTTTGAGAATATTTTTCGATAAAAAATACGCACTACCTTATCGTGTTGTCGATGGTGCTGTTTTTCATTTTCTCAGGTTAGTAAAACAAAAAAATTTATAAAAATAGAAAATAAAATTAAAAAATACCTTCACTTTTTTTTTTTGCAGATTTAGAAACGATCGACGTGTGTTACCCGTTTTGTGGCATCAAGCACTTTTAACGTTTGTTCAACGTTACAAAAGCGATATAAGCACCGAGCAAAAAGAATCCTTACTCGAATTATTAAAACATCAATCACATCCTGTAATTACACCCGAAGTACGTCGAGAATTGCAACATGCAAAATGTCGAGATTCCGAAATATCGGAACCTATTCCCGAACCAATGGCAGAATAATTTTTTTTTTTCAAAAAAAAAAAAAAATTCCTAAAACAAATGATTACAATGTTATTTTATTTTCATAATGAAAAATAAAAGCGAAAAAAAAAAATTCGATGCATTTTTATGATTAAGTATATTATAATACACGTACAAGTTTGACATATTTTCATTGTACATTAAATACGATTGAATAATAACACATCAAACACGCTCTCATTTACACTATGTGTTTTTTTTTCTTATGAAATTGAATCGTGTTTGCTCGAAAGATTTTTCGCTTATTTAAATAATTATAACGAAGAACAAAGTTTTCTTTTCTTTTTTTTGTAAAAAATAATATATGTCAGTTATTTTATGTACTTATGTATGTACAAATTTGAAACGAATAAATTAGGAAAAAAAACTACTTAACATAAATTACTACTTTATAAAATGGATGAAATTTTTGTTTTCAATACTTTATGATTAAAAGATAAAAAAATAAAAAAGGAAACAATACCTAGAATTTATAAGTATGTCATAAAATTTATATGATGGAAAAATAAAAAAAAACAGATGTGAATTTTGTGCAATGGCCAGAATTTTCACTACTACTATTTTTATAAAATACGTTTATCGATTTTTTTTTGTTCTCTCTAAGATATAGTTTGCAATATAACAGGATTTTTAACAGTTACTGTAATTTTTAAAATTACCTTTAAAATCAATACAATCTTGGGCAACAAATATTATCTCTTGTAAAAATAAAAATCTGTGAGTTGAATAGAAATTAAAAAAAAAAGAATATGGTGATTAAAAAAAAATTATACATTAATATACTTACTACGTTTTTTTTTGTTTTAAAATCCTCTTATAATTTTTCCTTATCGCGAGGTTATGCATTTTTTTCGAGGGGAGATCTCTTAAAAGTATATGCTTAAGTTTCGAGATTTTTTAACAACATTCATAGAAACATAGATGATGCATCGTCCACTATTTTTTTTTCTTTTTTTTTTTTTTTTTTTTTTTTTTTTTAAGTGCGACTAAAAAACTGAAATATTCTTATTGAGCATTTTACAAACCATTATGTTTAGCGTGCTCATTTTTTCTTGAAAAAGCTTGTAATACTTTTAGAACCCGCTGCCGCTTTTTGTCGTGCCAATTCTTTTTTCGATGGCGGCGGAGTCTTGAGAGGCTGCAAAAAAAAAAAAAAAGATTATTTTAATTGTTTAAAAAAAATAAATATTCAAGATAAAAGAAAAATTTATACTTTTTCAGGCTTTGTTAAATCAAGTGCTCCATTTCGTGGTAGTGATTCAGATTCTTGTGTATCTTTCTTGTGTCGTTTCTCATCAATCGAATCCTTTGGACTTGATAATTTTCGTTTCTTTTGTTCTAATTCATCGGGTAAATTAAGATGTTGTGCTAATTTTTTAGCAAGATCCTCAGCAAGATATTCCGATACAATACCGTGTGCGTATTTTAAATATTCTTGAAAAATTAGAATAAAGAAATTTTTATTAAAATTTATACAAATTTTTATTTTGAAAAGGAAATTTAAAAAAGAAAAAAAATTACCAGCTGTAGTTCCAGTATCATGTTTACTGCTCTTGACAAAATTTGCACTCACTGCACCCTGTGAAACGTGAATACCCTTTTGTTTTAAAATTTCAGCTACCCTATCGACTTTTTTCTGTAGCCATTCCATTGTCTTCTCTTCGTTAAATTTATAAGCTAATAACGATTCGTCACCCTTACGATCAGCCACCAATGTAAGTTTTAAATTGTGACATCGCGCTAAACGTGAAGTTTCTGGATAGTCTTCGTCTCGTAAAATTTGATCTAATGGCATTACTTGCTGTGACTAAAAAAGATAATTTTTTTTTTCGCTTAATTGAAAAAAATAATAATGTTAATTATAAATAAAAAAAAAAATTATTCTAATTTTACCTTTCTCAAATATGGAAGTACGAGAAAAATTGGATCTATAGGAGTTGATAAATGCATTTTTCCATCTGATTTAACGTGTTCATCAATAAACCATGATCTTTTGTTTTCATCAAACGTTATTACTTCCTGAATTGTTGTATCACCAGGACCAAATACAAACATTGCTGATTGATTTGATGATGGATGTCTCAATTTTACCATATCGGGTTGCTTACCATCTGCATTTTCCATTCCATCTGTAAAAATTAACAGAAAACTTTTTTTTTTACATCTATAAACATAAAATCATAAATAATTTCCACTTGAAAAAATGTTTATTATTGAAATTCACATTTGTTTTGATCATTTTTTTCTCTCTATTCAAATTATTTCATAAATAGTGAAATATTTTGTAATAAAAAAAAAATTATTGATATTTATATTAATAATTTTTTTGTTTTGTTTACATACCTTTCATAAGAAAAACCCAAGTATTAGCTCCTGGATGTGAATTCGCGGTTTTGACGCACTTTTTCGGAGACGCTTTAACGCGCGGCATCTTATAAAGAATATTATTGTTTTTCTTTATATCAAACTTATGAAATTCACTTTGCAAAATATATTTTAATTTTGCAAACACAACAGGATTTTGTTATAACTTTTCCAGGTAGAAATATATATTATAATCAATCTAGTCAGCCATTTTTGGCAACAAGAACCGGGCGCGGATGTTATAACAGCGTCTATTTTACAGTGGAAACTAAAAAACTTTTAATAAAAATATCTAACCGGCATCACATTCTCTTGAGACACTTGCAAGCTCCATAAAAATATTGTCACAGTCAATTATTGCACATAGACAAAAGTTTTTGTCAATTTGAAAATACAATGAATCTTTTCCTTTTAGTTGTGAGAGAGAATATTATAATATTATTTTCTTACAAGATTTCTGAATATCGAGCTCTGGCGTAAAAGATTGCAACTAAGGAGAAAGATAGTTTTTTTTTTCCTTTGAAAATTGCTTCAATAAATGAAAGCGTTATAGCGCAAGTCAAGATAGAAAATATTTCATATTCTTTATTATATGTATATCTATATTGTAAACGTGAGTCTTGATTTTTCAGTATTATCAATGAGAGAATAATTAGAAAATGAAGCTTTAAGTTTGTATTTTCATTTTTATTTTATGAAAATACAGGAGAATTTTATATTAAAAGTACTGTGCAACAATAAACTTGACAGCTGAAGCGTTATGATTGTTATTTATTTTTTTTTTTTGAGGTTATATAAAATCATGAATCCGGGAATCACCAGTGATGTACATACTAATTAGGAAAACCGGGATATTATTTTCCCCTCAATTTTTTTGCAATTACAAAGAAACAGAATTTGGACATTTAGCAAATCTTCTAGAAACAAATTCAATCAATTTTTTTAAACAATTTTTTACTATTGTAATAAATTAATTATGTTTTTTAAAATTTTTAAATCTATATCACATGGGAAATTATTTTTTCTCTATACACTCCTGTTTATCAGGAACAAAAGCGCCAAATGTATCAAGTGTCAGTTTGAAGAACTAATCTGCTGTTTCCATCGAACGATTTATTGTGATTATTATTGAAAAATTAAATAAAAAATTCTGTAATTAAAATTAAATCTCTTTCAATGACGTAGAAAGTGAATATAAAGTGAAAATAAAGTTTATTAAAAGAAATATTGCTTTTCATCGTAAACAATTTTTCTTTAACAAAGGTAAAATATTGATAATAGACGTTTGTTTTTATTATAACCTAAACTGTCAATAAGTGATTATTGTCGTCTTTTAGATATATTAAAAAAGTGAGTGTATATGTAATTTTTATGCACAATTTTTATTTAATAAAAGGCAGTTTTCATTGTGTTGGATAAATAATAATTTTGTTTATAAATTCATTACGTAACTTTATTAGTATACTTTGAGGGAGACTTTATACCTTATCAATTTGATTTACCTTTCAGATAGAATTTTTTTTTTCTTCCAACGCAAGAATACGATTACACACAAGAAAAAAAAAACAAATTATTCGTGTGCTTTGAAATATAATCGATCCAGTTTATTGTTCAGTAGAAAGAAACGTGTCTTATACAAAATAATTAAATATTAGCAGAAAAAATTTATATTAAAAGCACAGTGAAGTAAGTACTATTTGCATAAAAATAGTTCCTTTTTTTTGAAAGTTATTAATTTAATTTTGTAATAAAAAAAAAAAATAAACAAATTCTTGGAATTTAGAAATTATTTTTAATATAAAAGTTGCAGATATGTTGCAATGGACATACGAAGGTGTAAACAGTTCAATACCACGAAATCAAGGGCCAGAATGCGCCAATTATTTGAGTACGAAGAGAAAAATAATTGAAACATTTTTTGTATCGTTATTTATAATATTTTGCCTATCATGGGGTTTGAAACGTATGAAATTACCTAAACGAATACCTTATGTTAATCAAGATAGAACTGGTAAACATATTTTATTATTTGTCATGTCCCTTGTATTGGGAATGGAAATAGGATTTAAATTGACTAGTCGAACATTTATTTATTTTATGAATCCATGTCATATGCACACATTGGTTCAGGTAAGAGACAAATTTTTTATAGAATTATTTTTTAATTTATTTTTACTATTTTTTTTAAAATCAAATTATTAAATTTTACAGATATATTTATTAGCAGCGCCACCAAGTCCAATTGTAACGGCTGTATTTAGGGTACAAATTTATTATCTAAATGGGCCTTTATTAGCATTCTTATTCCCAGAGACTGAATCTCGATATGTGAGTTATTTTTTTTAATCAATGTTTAATGAAATTTAATATATCTAAAATGTCCTTTGTTTCAGATATTTGCTGATAAAGCGTGTTATTACATACAACATGGATTAATGATTGTGATTCCTTATTATTTATTAAGGCTAGGAGGTAATTTTTAAAATAAAAAATAATATATTTCTATTAGTAATTTAAATTTATTTATTTATATTTTTAGGAGTTTATAATGTTGAACCTCTCACTGATATGAGTTGGCCAATATTCAGTTATGGTCTCAATCTTGTTTATCATTTTTGGATTCTTCAACCGGCTGCTTTGGTAATATTTATTTTAAATAGTTTGAAAAAATTATAATTTCTTTTTTTTTTAAAATAATCGAATTTTTTATTTAAATATTATTTTCAGCCAGTGCAAGTAAATTTAAATCATATGCTGTGTCCAGCAGTTTTAGATCCATTTGAAGGTCAATATTATCGTCTTTGGGCAACAACACATCAAGCTCTATTGTGTCCAATTTTAGGCAAAATATTTTGCCTATTTGCAAACTTTCTTTTAACTAAATTCCCAGTGACAAAAGTGAAACCAACACTCGATTATCCAATGACGCGAAAAGAGGAGGATTTTACAAAAAGTGAATCTCAATTAACGAGTGATAGCGACATTAATGGACGCACTCATAGTGATTAAATTTTCAAATTCACAAAAAGGAATTTATAATATAATTGCATATAACTCTTATATATATATATATATATATATATATATATATATATATATATATATCAATTTTCAATCTTCTGTGATTTTTAAGTCTATAAATCACAACACAAAACCATGATGATTAGAATTCGCTAGTTCATTGCTATTATATAAAAAAAGTATTTTTTTAAATGTATCTTCGTGGAAAAAAAGTGAATCTCTTTAACAGTAATTCCAAAAAAAAAACATCTACATTTCTTGCTTTTTTGTTCAATATTTTAGCTAGTCAATATTGTTGTAAATAATTGAAAATTAAATGGTAAATTGATGTAAAAAAAAGCCAGTATACACAAAGAACCTTTTTTAAAATGAGAATATAAAAAATTAATCTTATAGATCTAAGATTAAATTAGATGCAATTAATATTAAAAACAAAAAAAAATATATATATATATCATCTTTCCGAGAAATTGAGTTTCTGGAAACAGAAAAAATGTACCTTGAAAAACATTATTTTTTCAAACTCCTAGTTATATATACGTATATAAAAAAAAGGATTATTTTCTCGTCCGAAAGTTTATATATTAGAATCAAGTAATTTCAGGGAACAACGATAAGTTATTAATAAAATAATTATTCTAATTTGCATGTTTAAAACAAACAAAAAAAAATTATTTTAAATTGCAAATTTCTTTTTTAATTTACTCCACATTTATGTATTGATTTTATCTTGCCAGTTTCTAAACTTAATATAGTAATATAAAGAAATCTTCCATACAAAGAAAAAATGAAAAAAAAAACCAAGTGTCAAGAATAATCAATATTTCATACTCACTCGCTGTCTCTATTTCTCTCTTTATCTCTATATGTATATGTATACGTATTATATTTATATATATAATTAATATACATATAATGTTACCGATTATTTATCTTTTTTTTTTTTTTTGTAATAGTAGCTATTTTTTTCGCTTTGAGAGCAAAGAAAAAGCCAAGTCATGTGATATTGTTTCGAATTTAATTGAAATTATCATGAATTCTCAGATTTTAATTGTTTAACAAAAAATGTATTTTAGTTTTAAGATATATGTATATTTATGTATAAATTACACATGTGAAATTTATTTTAAATGTTTCAAATTGTTATTAAACGCAATCATTAAATCATATATTATATATACTAGAAATTGAGAACGAATAAATGAATAATATTTAAAATATTTCTTTTATTTACCCGTTTGTTTCTTTTTTATTTAATTTCAAAAAAAAAAAAAAAAAAATATCAAGGATTTTTAGATAGAGAAATAATCCCATTTTATGAAACAAGCTTTATTTTTTAGAAATATCACTATGTACATTGTTCTGTACAAAAGTTTGTTTTTTTCTCTTCTTTTCTTTTAGAAAAATTAAATCGCTGAATTCTACATGAGAGAAATACAATTATTACATTATCGGAAAAATGTATGTACATTAAAATGTTATATTAATGTTCGAATTTTCTTTCTTTTTTCTTTTTATAAGGTAATATCTTATAAAAACAAAAAAATCGTGTCAAATTGTAACGTACAATTTGTCCTATATATAAACACTACTCCAAAATTAAAAAAAAAGTTTTTCTCAATAAGAGATAGGAAGAACTTAATTTTAAAAAATATGAAAAACAACGAGAGATATATAAAATCTCATTTGCAGAAGAATAATTCAACTTATTTACGTCAAGTAAGAATTTTCTTACTCTACATCTTTGAATATCGTTTTCATTAAGTTATCATGCCTTAAGATAGACATCTTTAATTTACACGAATAATAATAATAATACCCTATTGTGGATTGTAAACTAAATATGTCTCAGTCTATTTACAAAAAGTCAATCACACTTTCAAATTCAATTAAAGTGACTTTGGAATCTTGTTTTTCTAAAAAAAAAACTTCGGGAATCACTTTTTTTTTTGAATAATGAACCATTTAAAAATTTGAATTTAAATTCAAAAATGTTACCCATCCAGAGGAGGACCTAAATATACCATTGAAACTTCTGTATTTCCATAAACAGCCGAAATTGAAGGGTATAATTTTTTATCTGGAAGTCCTGGAAAAATTTTACAATTTAAATTAAATTATTTACCCCGAAAAAAATTAAAAATATCTTTTTTCTAATTTTTTTTTTTACCTCTGAATGCTACGCCTAAAAATTCATAATTTCTCTCAAAGGACAATGTATTATCCTCACAATCTAAAATTACTCTAATTCTCTCGCCGATCTGTAGATAAAAATTATTTGTTTATCTTCTTTAATACAAAAAAAAAATTGTAATTTTTTTTTTTTTGTGAATTTTACCTGATACTTGGGAGCATTGTTGAGTGAAGGATAATTTCCTAATGCATCACCATTATGTAAAAGATGATTGTCAACAATATTCCAACCCCATGAATGCTCATCGGAGCCAAGAAGTGAAACATAACCGTGACATAAAAGAGATGCCTCTTTTGTTGCTATTCCAATAACTGCAACTGTTCCCAATGGTCCTTCCCAAATTACTTCCCATGCATGTCTTCCATGTCGAAAACCTATTTTACCTCTTCCTGCATCTGTACTTTGTGCCACGGGATTTCTACAAAACGAAAAGAAAAACAAATTAAAATAAATAATAATTTTAAAACAAAATTATTTATACTCTTATTTAATTAATAGAGAAAGAAATATAAGACCTTATAAAGAATAAAATTAATTTCGGTGGTAAAATTAAAGAAATAACATTTTGTTTAGAATTGTAATGAAAACGAAAATAATCAATAAGACAACATAACCTCAAATGTCAAAAAACTCCATCACAATTAGAAAAAAAAACTATTAAACATTCTAATTAGAAATCAAAACTAATAAATAACAATTAATTCTACTTGTTAATATATAAATCAAGCATAATTTTCAATGAGAAATATGAGTTTTTGCGCAAAGTAATGAAGAGAGAAAAATACTCACCTATGCAATGTAAATCCATTTGATTTAATGAAAATATTTCTTGAACAATCATTTGGATTCCATGCATGACGAAATGCTCTTAATTTTGATTTATAAGTAGGTACAGATGATAATAATCCTGAACTTAATACTTCCTGGCCCAATTCACGTATACAATGTAATCGCCAAATGTCATTATTCTCATCACAAAGTATTCTACACCAATTTTTACACACTAATGAACAATTTCTCAATGATGGAAGATTTAAAAATGAAAATATCAATTCTAAAACAGTATCTGGCAAATGAGATATATCATCCATTTTGCCGGTCATCCCGACGACAACGATAATAAAAAACTTGTCAAAAAAAATGTCATTTTGATGGCACCGCCAGGAACTGATGTTTCAAATGGAATTTAACAGATGTCACCATAACAAAACGGTAATGTCATTTACTAAATAACCTACAAAATTTATAACTGTCATTTTTTTTTCAAATTTAATAACTGTTTTATTAATATCTTTTTTATATTGAAATATAAAAGTAATATGAATGAAATTTTAATAATAATAAATTTAAATTTAGTGTTTTCAAAACTATTTTTAGTATTTACTTAATATAAATAAAGGGTAAATATTAATTATTATTGATTTATATAAGGTTAGTAATTTTTTTTTTTTAAATTCTATTTTTATTTTAAGTGTCAGGAGTAAAAATCTCTAAAAATATTTTTGCAATTATAATCATTTATTTATTTCTTTTTTTTTCTTTTTTAAAGAAGTTACAAACTCCAAAAAGACATTATGTACACGCGGCCTTAAATCACTATACATGAATTTCTGCTAAAAGGAAGAAATTTAAAAACGAAAGCAGTTTGATATTAAAAAGCTTTTGCTAGATTTTTTCATGAATAGTATAAATATACAAGATTATTATATTTTTTTTTCTACATAAACCTCGAGTATATTAAATATTTTTAATGCATTTTAATCTCATTGCTTTCGTTTTGCACTGCTCTCTTGGACATTTATATATTTGCGCGTTAATTTATTTTTGCCAAAAAAAAAAAATAAAGGAGGGAATAAACTTCTGATCTAATGAAAAAATTTGTTTATTCTCATATATGTATATATGATACTGATACATGACTCATTCATTCATTTTGTACATAGTACGAAAAAATTCATTTAAAAAAAGGTGAAGCGTTTCTTTTTCATCGATGTATTGAAAACCAATTCGCTTCTATTATATACTCTTCATACAAGACACATTCTCACAAATAAAACTGCTTATATATATATATATTGAATTACACGTAAAGAACATACAAAACAAAAAAATAAATTAACGATATTGGTGGAGTCTTATATGAAAGGAGTTTCTTTTTTTTTTTTTTTTTTTTATCCTCGCTATGTTCCGAAGACTTTGAGGCTCTCTGCGAACTTTATATTACGAGCAGTGATTCTTTTTTTTTTAATCAAACATTTCCTTGTACAGCAAATACAATACAGAGTAATACAGATCATCACAGCCGTAAAATAACGGGATTATTTGTGACGCGAGAATATTTAATCGTTTAACGCGTCGGTCAAGCGCTCATTAAAAATAAAAAAATAGTTATGAGCGCGACACACAAAACACGATATTAAAAAAAAGTATTAATCTCTCTAAAGCATTTGCCTATAAGGGAAGTGGGATTTCAGTCTAGACGTGCGTCACGAATCAAAGTTCGTTATCAGCGTATGATTATAATTCATCCTTGAGATCATCTTCCTCACCACCTGTTGGTGGTGGTGGTGCACCACCTGCACCTTGATATAATTTCGCAATAATTGGCTGTGCAATATCAGTGAGTTCTTTCTTTTGTGTTTTATATTCTTCTGGATCTGTATCTTGATTTTCTTCTAACCATTTAATTTTCTCATCAATAACCTCTTCTAATTTTGCCTTATCAGTGTCACTTATTTTTGAACCAAGTTTCTCTTTATCGGCAAGTTGATTTTTTAACGAATATGCATACGATTCAAGATCATTGCGCGCTTCAACGCGTTCCTTTTGTTTTTTATCCTCCTCAGAGAATTTCTCAGCTTCCTTAATCATTCTTTCAATATCGTCAGGTGTCAAACGATTTTGATCATTTGTAATGACAATTTTTTCACGATTACCCGTTCCCTTATCTTCGGCAGATACTTGTAAAATACCATTGGCATCAATTTCAAATGTCACTTCAATTTGTGGTATTCCACGTTGTGCGGGTGGTATTCCAGTAAGATCGAATTTACCAAGAAGATGATTGTCCTTTGTCATTGGTCGTTCACCTTCATAAACTTGAATTGTCACTGTGTGTTGATTATCCGATGCTGTTGAGAAGATTTGAGATTTTTTCGTCGGGATAACGGTGTTTCTGCAAAAGAAGACAATAAAAATTTAGTTAAAAAAAAAAAAAAATGTTAAAAAATGGAGAAAAAGAGAGTATTTTTACCTTGGGATGAGTTTTGTCATGACACCACCAACGGTTTCAATACCCATGGTAAGTGGATTAACGTCAAGAAGAACAATTGCGTCAGTGTCTTGTTCACCGGATAAAACACCAGCTTGAACGGCAGCTCCATAGGCAACGGCTTCATCGGGATTAATACCACGCGATGGTTCTTTGCCACCGAAGAAATCCTTGACGAATTGTTGAACTTTTGGAATTCTAGTTGATCCACCAACGAGAACAATTTCATGTACATCTTTTTTACTCATATCAGCGTCTTCCAAAACTTTTTGCACCGGTTTTAATGTACTTCTAAATAAATCCAAATTCAATTCCTCAAATTTGGCTCTTGTGAGTGTTTCCGAAAAATCTTCACCATCGTAGAATGATTCAATTTCAATTCTCACCTATAGAAAACAAAATTTTAGTTTTCGTTTCAAGGGACAAAAAAGAAAAATACATTAAATATTTTTTTATTAATTTACCTGATGACTGGCGCTGAGTGCTCTCTTTGCTTTCTCGACTTCACGACGTAATTTTTGCACAGCACGATTGTCCTTACGAATGTCCTTGCCCTTCTTTTTCTTATACAATTTAATAAAATGATCCATAACTCTTTGATCAAAATCTTCACCACCCAAATGTGTGTCACCATTTGTGGCAACAACTTCAAAGACACCATTGTCAATTGTCAAGAGACTCACGTCGAATGTACCACCGCCCAAATCGAAGACCAAAACATTTTTCTCACCGTCTTTTTTATCTAATCCATAAGCAATAGCAGCTGCCGTTGGCTCGTTAATAATTCTCATCACATTCAAACCGGAAATAGTACCAGCGTCTTTCGTTGCCTAGAGGAAAAAAAAAAATTCATTTAGATATCTTATTAACAATTTTTAATATTTTTTTATAGATTTTATTTCTTACCTGTCGTTGAGCGTCATTGAAATAAGCGGGAACAGTAACAACGGCATGAGTGACTTTTTTGCCCAAATAAGCTTCAGCGGTTTCTTTCATTTTACCAAGTACCATAGCTGATATTTCCTCTGGTGCAAATACTTTTTCGCCTTGTTGTGTATCAACTTGAATGTGTGGTTTACTATTTTTATTCACAACTTTAAATGGGAATAATTTCATATCTTGTTGAACAGTACTGTCCGACCAATCACGACCAATAAGACGTTTTGCATCGAAAACAGTATTCTCAGGATTTGTCGTCAATTGATTTTTTGCAGCATCACCAATGAGACGTTCACCGTCTGCTGTGAATGCCACATAAGATGGTGTAATACGATTTCCTTGATCGTTTGCAATTATTTCAACTCGTCCATTTTTATAAACACCAACACTGGAAAATTACATTTATTATTATTTATAAAGAAATGTAACTTAAATTACATTTAAAATTCTAAATAAAAATTAAAAATCCAAATACTTTTCTTATATTCAGTTATCAAAATATGTAAAAAAAAGTCGAATATTGAAAAATTAACCTCCAACAGAAAATAAACGAAAATCATTTCTTAGGAAGCATAAAAAAAAAAGAAAAAATAGAAAAATCTTACCAAGAGTAAGTTGTTCCTAAATCAATTCCAATAACAGTTCCAATTTCTTCTTTCTCCTTTTTCTCTTCTTTGGATGCTGCTAACGCCAGCAACCCAAATAATACAAGGGCTACTATTCCCTTCATTTTCTAATTCTTCTTATATTCTAACCTGAAATTAAAAATGTCAAAACGTTACAATATTTACTATTCTTTAAATAATTATTAAATCTGCTAGTAAAGATTTCCATATTGTTAATTTCAAAAACAGATTTCGAATTTCTAGAAATTAATAAATTTTCCATATAAATAACAAATTATAAAATTAATTATTCACGTTTAATGAAGTTTAAAACAAAAATATAAAAGCCACGTCATCATAATCGATAATTAAAAATATCAGTAAAATTAAAAAGAAACGGAATTAGAAATTAAAATTCTAAAATTATCAATGATCTTTAAAATGGTGCATAATACACCCAAAAATTCTTTCTATACTCCCAAATGTCGAAGTGTAAAAACGTGTATGGTCAATAAAATTACAAAATTGTAAAATTAACACTTTCATTAAATTCTAATTTACAATGCAAAAAAAAGGAAAAACAAATATATTTATAATAAATTACAAAAGTGAATGTAGAAATCAAGAAAATTTATCCAAATTAATAAAAAGAAAATTATGCCGGTATTTAAAAAAAAAAAAACTATTTTTATTAAATAAAAATTCAATTACTCACCAAACAGTAAAAAAAAATTATTGAAAAATCTTGTATCCAACACTGAATTATTCTCTTTTTCAACTAAATGATATATTCTTAAACAACTCTTCACTGATGACTGACTGCCGACTGAATGGAACACCGGGATATTAACGGGAAATTTTCGTCGTGTCTCACTATTATTGGTAGAAGTTAAATTTTGTCACATCAAATGTTCTTTTTGATTGGTGAACGTGTCTACAGTTGGCTTCTCACTATTGGCCCACGTTAACAAACGTCATCAATTTTCAAGAAGATTCGAGAAGACACGAGATTGGTCGACTATTTTGAAAGGAGCGTAATCAGAAGAAATTTAAATTGGGGTTATTTTTCCCCCTTTTCGCTGTGAAAAATATATACACACACAACAGAGATAATTAATAATTTTCTCCTGATAAGATTTTATAATAATCAGAGTTCAATTTTATTTTTAAATATTAGCAAAAACAAAAAATAAAAACATTATAACCTTGAGCCGCAAAATTTGATGGTCTTTTATAATTTTTAATTTAAAAAGATCCTATTTAAAAAATTTTAATAATTAGATAAAAATTAGAATTAAAAAAATCAATAAATATATTTATTGGAAAAATTTTAACATGAAAAATACTTTAGAAAGAAATAAAAAATTACATAAAACTTATTTTTTAAATATTGAAAAATATGATTTATTTTGAAAATTTGATTAAAATAGGATATAATTTTAAAATTTTTGGTAAAAAAAGAAGAAAAAATTATATCTCTGTACTAACTAAAATTCTCTTTCTAAAATCACGGCCCTGAAAATTTTTCTCTCACACACACACGTGTTTCTTTGATCCACGTAATCTTTCTTGCATTTTAAAATAACGGGACAAGGAGAGAGGTGTGTTACATTCATTTCTTTTATACACAGGATTTCAATCAGGCATTTATCATCCTCCACAAAAAAAAATTACGTGGCACAAATATCCACCTACGAAAATTATTCTACATTCTTCGCAACAAAATGAAACTATCTCCTGTAAAAAAAACATATATTTACAAAAAATATATTTAAATTCCTTTTCTCTTTATCTACAATTTGTATATATACTTCATTTTATATCAATAAATTAAAATTGATAATATTAAAATAACGTAATATTTTTTTGTTTTATAAAATTTATTTTCTTGGATAACGAATCATTTAGTATTTACTTTTTGGTTGTAGTAAATCAAGAAGCATTGGTGTAAAATAAGTAATAATACAATCCGCTCCAGCTCTTCTCATTGATAATAAAATTTCTAAAAGTACAGATTCCAAATTAATTGCTCCATTATTTGCTCCATGTAATAGCATTGCATATTCACCAGATACTTGATAAATAAATAAAGGATATTCAGGATGATTGTCTTTTACTTGTTTCACAATATCCAAATAAGCTAATCCAGGTTTAACCATTAAAAAATCAGCACCTTCATCAACATCTCTGGCCTTTAAAAATTAATAGAATTTCAATTTAAACTAATTAAAAATAAAGTTAATTTTTAAAAAAGACAATTATTTTTCTTACTGCAGCCCTTTTGGCGAGTCCTTTACTTCCTGATGGTAATTGATAACATTTTCTATCACCAAATTTAGGTGCAGAATTTGCAGCATCTCTAAATGGTCCATAAAATCCTGATGAAAATTTAACAGCATATGAAAGAACTGAGACTTTATTTGATAAATTTGCTTTAACTAGACTTTTTTTAATTGGACCTATTCTTCCATCCATCATATCCGAGGGGGCAACAATGTCAGCACCTATTAGTGGAAAAAAAAAGAAAATTTATTTGAGTGAAAAAGAAAGGATTGAGAACAATTTCTTTTTTTTTAACACTCACCACATTTCGCATATGACAGAGCAATTTCAGCAATTCTTTTGATACTTGCTTCATTATTAATGCTACCATTTTCATTTAAAATTCCACAATGTCCATGCATTGTGTAAGGACATAAACACACATCACAGGCAATTATTAAATTAGGAAACCATTTTTTTAATAATGGCAATGCTTGAATTACTGGATTTTGAACGCTATCAGCATTAGATGCTTTTTCATCCTTAAAATATAATTTAAATAAAAATATTTCGACATTTTTTTTTGAAACTCTTTAGAAATGGAATAAAATAATATTAATTACCTTCCTTAAATTGTTCGCAACACCAAATAATAAAATAGATTTTAATCCTTTCGATACTAATGGATCTAATGTTAATTTTAAATGATTAATTCCATAACGAAAAACACCCGGCATACTATTAATTGTATCCTTAGCATCAGGATCATCTCTGTAATGATTTTAAAAAAATATTTTTTTAATAAAAACATTGATTCTTTTTTTTCTTGAATAATAAAAATTGTTTATGCGAATTAGAAATAAAATATTTTTAGAAACAAAATTAATATTTATAAAATTATTTAAACAAATAATAATTTTTTAAGGTTATGTACTCACAGTAGAAAAATTGGATACATCAAATTATTCACTGTTATTTCAACATTTGGTGATTGCCAACTTCGCAAAAGTGGATGAAAATATCCACTATGTAAAATATGTTTCTCTTTCATTTCTTGCATGTTTTTTTAATTGAAAAAAACTTATTAAAAACGACACTTAAAAAAAAAAATTAGGATTAAATCCCACTGTCATCAAAACAAATTATGTAATTGGAGCTACAATAGAAATTGAAGAAATATGATTGGTCGAATTATTTCCCTCCACTGCTTTTAAATTTATGGCGGAAATTTTTCAAAATCGAACCTATGTATAATAATAAAATGTATATATATAACAAAAAAACGCTTACAAGTTTTAGGTACAGAAAACTTGTTAGGTGTACAAAGGCCTTTAAAGGAACATGAGAGCTACTACTTCTACTGAGTTTGAAAAAGTGATTAAAGTTAGATTGAAATTTTAATTTATATAAATGAAATTCACGATTTTTGTTGACAACAACGGAGACAACAAATTTTTTAGGTTAGTTTTATTCTATTACAATTGAATAATTTTAAACGTTTTGTATAATGACAAAATCAGCAAAATTAACTTATTTTTAGTATCATATTTAATATCTTATATTGCCACAAGTCACGTGACTTTCGAAAAATTTATTTTGCGAAAATTGAAAAAAGAATTTCAAAAATCTTTAAAATTTACTAAAATATAATCTTAAAATAAGAATACAAATAATTAGCAAAGTAAATTGAAATTTTCTTTAATGTGAAAAATATTTATTTTTTTCTTGCATAATTTTTTTTTACTAAAATTATAATTTTAGCTCATAATTATTGATATAATTATCAATAAACTATTTATATATATATATATATATATATACTTACATTAACTATTTGTTCGATAAAAATAAAATTGAATATAATAATTATTCACTTCAACAAAATTGAAATAAACATTAAAAATACGAGGTTTCTTTTTTTTCTTAGACATTCGTATAAATTTTCTGCTTTAAATTGAAATATTCTATTCTTTATTTTAATCACTTTGTATCTATTTATTAGATGAAAAATATTAAAGTGCTCTTTTTTTTATGATGGAGAAAAAAATGAAAATTAACTGCAAATGAAATAGTTTTTAGCTGTACATAATAAATAGTTCTAAAACAGCCTCATTAATAATATTAACCTCTATATATATACATCACTTGTGCGTCTAATTTTCAAAAATTTACACAATAAAATTTTTCTGCGCACTCTATATTTATAGTCATTTAGAGTTTGATTAACTCAAGGCACAAAAATATAATGAGAAACATCATTAGTATCTTCCATTACTTTTGACTGTAAAAGTTTGATTTCAAGTCTCAATTTTTCTTTTTTCAATTTTATCATTTCAGTTTCATGAAATAATTTTTCTTCTTCCGCTTTAAGAACAGCTAATTTTTGATGTATCAAAAGTGGTTCTCTTTCGTCCGCTATCATAATTTCACGAATATTATTTGTTTCTTGATTTATTATATTTGTTTTTACACCATTTGCTTCACTTTCGGCTCCGCTATCGGCTTCTGTATCCAATGTTGTACCCTCTTTAACAACCCAAATTTTCTCTGAATCATGAAGTGGATGATTTGGTGATGATCTATTTGATAGAATTTTTTGCACAAAATGTGTCGACGACGATGGCGATGAACTGGGATTAATTCTCTTTATTTTCTCATCATCCATTTGTGTTGTAATTGTTTCTGGAGACAGGACTGTAAAAAAATAATTTCAATTTTATTTAAATATTACCAATTTAATTTTTTTTGTCATTACCTTCACGATTTGGAGATTGACTATCATGTACACTGGAAGATAATGGATAGGTATTGAATTCTCTCTCGTCAACAAATACCGAACCATCGGCATTAACAATTGACTCGACTATAACAGAAGGATCCCCGTCTTCCATCACTAATTCACCGACAATTTCTCCATTAACACTTATCATATCCGTATCTCTTGTGGCACTAACCAATTGACTTTCTCCATTGCTTATTTCATCAACTGACTCTTCTTGCATTAGAGGATCACAATAAGTATCATCAACGTCATTTCCTTCACTCGTTTCTAATTCCACCGATAAACTCTACAATAAAAAAAAACAAATCTCAATTAACAATAATTTTAATATTATTATAATTTAAAAGAATATTTAAAAATACGTACATTTTGAGCCCAACATGGCGTATCCTTTTCGGTTTTCATTCTTTTAATTGTATGTGTCATTTCATCCTCGGATTCGATAAATTCTTTTTTTTGTATATTTTCAATATCATGAATTTTTTTAAATAATTGATAAGCACGTTCGGGTGTAATTTCTTTTTTATGTTTATTTGCAGCGGCAATATTAAATAAATCCTTTGAGCGTAATATTTTATTTGTTCGCAATCGTACATATTCCTTTAAACGTTTTCTATCTATATGAAGTTGCATTAAATCTTGAACCTCCTGTTTTATTTCACCGCAAAGTTTTCTCTCTTGTGGCAAATTTTTAAATAATTCCTGTAAAATATTAACATATTAAATTTCTTTAAAAATTATCAATTTTTTTTTTTTTTTTTTCATTTTACCTCCGAAATTTCATGATTGTGCTCATTATTTACACTCGTTACTTCCAATTTTGTCCCATCTTTAGAAGCTCTCAGCATAATATGAGCCTGACAATTAGTTCTAATAGATCTGAAAAAAAAAATTATTATTTTTTGTTTTTGACGAAATCAAATTTTGCAAACGTACTGAGATTGTCTTCTTCCAGCTCCTCGTGGAAGAAATTTTTGTCCTCCATAAATACATGCATATTTAACAGAATAATATTTTAATCTTGCACTTATTGGACGTGCTGTTTTCATATGAGCACCATTTACCGTTCTACTGTCTCGTCTCCAATAATGTACAAGACTTTGTCTTGAAAATTTTTCCAATTTTTGTTCAAGTTCTTCATAACTCTCAAATAATTCCCCAAGACGAAAGGATATATCCTCATCATCAGTAGCATTGTCCATTGTTGGAAATTCTAGTAATTAACTAAAAAAAAAAAAAAAGATAAAATTGTCAAATTTTACAAAAAATGAAAATTCAATTCTCTGAATTAGAAAATTGTTTTTGTCAAATTTTAATAATATTAATATTGAATTACAAATTGAATAACTTTTATAAATCTATCTAACCTTATTACTATTACTATATTAATACCTAAAAAATTAAATTCATTTCGTAATAATTAAACAGGTACAATAAAACATTTTCAGAATGTTTTTTTATAAGTCAAAACATTTTAGGTTAGAATTACATTTCAAATATTTAAATTTCCTTAACGAAAACAAAAAAAACAATTCTAATCAATTTGTGAAAATATAGAATAAAAAAATTGCAAATTTATTAACTAAATTTTGTAAAATTTGACGAAAGAATATTTTTCTATTTTTTTTTTTTTTTAAGGTTATGTTTTAATTTTGATTGGCGTGGCAGAAGCCAAGATGGTTGAAAAACTGCGCCCGTGAAGTAATCACTGTTTTCTCGAGAGACGGGCAAATAATGGAGGGCAATTTGTTGTGTTTCTTTTCAATTTTTGTGTGATTTCAAAGTTTAAATATATAAATTTTAAAAGCAATATAATGTGAATAATAAAATAACAACAAAAAATGATAGAGAAATAGAAAACACATCTTACCTTAAGTTTTACGCAATGACGCACTAGAGAAAAATTACTCATCTGCGGCGCAACTGTACGTTCATTTTCAAATATTCCTTTTGTTATTATTATTGTATCTTATATCATAAAAACAAAATTACCATTATTTTCTTTTGTATATACACTATATTTATCACTATTTCATTATTATTATTTATCATTAATTTCAATCTACTCTATTTTCTAAAATTCTACATTTTTATAATCAAAATTTAATTTATTTAAAAATTATATATTAAAATTGTTTATTTTAATTGTTTATAAAAAAACATTTATCTTTTTAATTAGAAAATTGTGGAATAAGTCGTATAGAGAGTAAAACATTTTTATATTTTTGAGGTTATGAATTCAAAATTTAAAAGGAATTTAAAAAATTTATATCATTTTTTAGAATAAAAAATTATCTTTATGTTTGGTTTCATAAAGTTTATGAGAATATAATTATAAAATGTTCAGTTCGTTTCAAGTATGCAAATCACATGTAAAGTTTTTTTTTATAAACTTTTCTTCTCACTTAATATACATATAATTTTTTTTAATTTATTAATATTAATTGTCACTCCATTCAGTTTCATTATTTGAATCTATTGGTGGAATCGGTGGTGGTATATTATCAAATTCTGGAGCAATCTAAAAAAAAATTTAGATAAAATGAATGAATTATTTTCATATTCGTTAAAATATTTGCTAATGAAAATTAAAACTTTAAAAATATAAATAATATGGGCAAATACATTAGCAAAATTAATTATTTTATTATTATTAATTAACTCTGTAGGAGTTTGAGTTTTGTTTATATTACCTGAATGAAATCATTGAAACTCGTTTCGGAATTTAATTTTAAATTAGATTGATTATCCTTCACTTGTTCATTATTATCTTCCCTCAAAGATAATCTTTCTGTTTCGTTTTCTTTTTTATTAATTTCCCTTTTACTACTCGATTCTTCTTCAATTTTATCATTTAGTACTTTTAAAGTAATATCCTGTACAAAAAGAATATTGTTCTATTCTAATTTTTCTATTCAATATAAATTAGAAATATTTCTAAATTAAAAATATTTCTTACCCTTAACGTAGAAGCAATTGTTTCCTTAATAAAGTTAGTTGAATAATTGTCTTCGGTAAATTTCGATAATAATGTATGATACGTATTATTCATTATTAATTTAACTTCTTTATTTTTATCACTTTTCTGGGAAAAAAAACTAAATTATAAACTTTTTCTATTATTGCATTAAACACTTATTAAATTAAAAAAAGGGGAAAAAACTTACAGAAGAGGAGTTTGTTTGCTTTGTGCTTGCAGCAATTTCTAATGATTTACAATTAGATTGAAGTTGTAAAATTTCCCTCTCAAGAGTAGAATTTTTCTTTTGATAATCATTAAAATTTTCTTTAATTGTTTCATGAATTGAATGTAAATTTTCGTATTCAAGTTCTTTTTTTTCGAGTTTCGTTTCTAAATTTGTTATCTTCTCTCTTAATTCATGATTCACTTCATCTACATTTCTTTTCTCTTCTTTCAATTTCATTACTTCATGATTAGCATTATTTATTAATTCTGAAAATAATTTATAAAATGAGAAAAATTAATTTGTCTTAATTAATTAATTTTACGGATGGAATTATTAATTTAATTGCAAATACCTTTTATTGTCGTTAATTCTTCTTCTTTGGCTAAAATCGTTTCTTGCAGTTGAGTTATTAAACTATCATTTTTTTCTTCAACATTACAACTTTGTTTAGTTGATAAATTTGAAATATTTTTCACTTCCATCTGATTCATTGAAAGAATCATTTTTAATGTATTTTCCATTGTTCTATCGTTGTTTGGCGACGAAGCATTTTGAAGTTCCAAGACATGAAACTAAAATGATTCAATATTAATGTAATTAAATAATAGATATTATTTAATTATTATTAATTTCAAAAGAAATTACTTTATCTAACAATCGTTGAATATTGTCGGATATTTTTGACATTCCCATTCGAATTTCGGCATTTTGTGTTCTTGTCTCAGTCAAAAATAGATTTAAATTTGGATCCAAAGTTGCGGGTATTGTTTGTGTAACAAATTGTTGAGCCATGGGAAATGTTTGACCATCAACTGTCATATATTGTGGCTGTGGAAAAATTATTTTAAAATTTATTGTTTTGTAAAATTTTTGAATTTGTTAATTTTTCTGTTACCTGAATTTGAGTTGGAGACCATTGTGGAGTATAAACAACGGGAATTAATGATTGTTGTGTATTAGAAGCCGATGGTGGTTTTGTTCTTGTAACTTTATGAAAATTACCACTTGTTTCTGGAAATTCTTGAGAAGATTGAAATTGTTTTTTAGATGGACTCGACTCTGGCAATTCTCCCTGATAAATAATAATTTTCATTTAAACAATTAGTTTACATATAAAATTAATTTTTTTTAGTTTCTTTTACGTGAACATTTTTCTCACCTTTTTGTGTCGTACTGTTCGATCTTTTTTTATTTCATCCTGAAATTTTGATACAATTAAAATTCGATTTGAATTTTCAATTTTTTAATTTTAATAAAAAAAAAAACAAACCTCAGTGTCATCGGAATCGGTAGTCGTTGAAATTGACGTTTTTGGAAGAATTGATTGTCCCATTTTTGCCATTCTTGATATAATTGCAGCTTTACTTGATGAAATTGGTGATTTTGTATCGGGAATTTTCATTTCCTCTTCCCTCTGTATATTTATTATTTCAATTTCAAGAACAATATCTCTTTCCTTAGGAAAACCAGGACCTAGACTAATCTATTAATGAAAAATTTTTATTTATAATTTTACAATTTGTGAAATTTACTCTAAAAAACAAAAAAAAAAAAGTATAACCTGTTTACTAGGCGGTAAAATTAATAATCGTCTTAAATTTTTCATTGTTCCCAATAATATTCTTTCCCAATTATCATCGGTAGAAATTTCCACTGTCATTGATAATTCCGCAGTTGAATTATTTTTCAATGGTTGAATTATTTCTGTGGTAATAATATATTTTACGGAAATTTGATCACCCTCTTTTGCTGTAATTGTTTTTTCAATAGGCGCATTTAAATCTTGATAAATTAATGAATTATTATTTATTTTTTCTCCTCGACGTGAAAGATATCGTGATAAGCAAATTTCTCTTGCAAATGAAATACATTCATTGCTAGTTTCAAAATGTATTGACCAATTTTCTTGTCGATTATCATAATATGTTGAATAATTATTTGCTTGAACAATATAGGAAAAATCGTGAGTTATTGAAACTATTGATATATGTTCTTGTTTACTTCGATAGAGAATTAATTGATAAGATTTTGTTGAAACATTTCCCACTAAAGCGAGGCCCAATTTTCCTATTGATGTATATTGTCCATTTTGTCTGGAAATTTTTTAATTAAAAATTATTATAGAAAACAAAAATTAATAAAAGCTGTAAAATCACAAAATTGAATGAATTTTCTAATAATAGAACAAAAAATTGACTTACAATTTATAAGCGTTTACAGCTTTTGCAATAACAACTTCGGTTTTTGATTCTTGAGTTGATGCAACATTTGTAATTTGTTTTGTTGTTGGTAAAATTTGAGGAGGAGTATTTATATTGTTTGGTGGTTTATTTGTATTCATACCAAATATTGAAGCTAATCTGGAACTGAATTAATAATTTTTATATATATAAAATAATTTGTTTTGAAAAATAATCTTATAGGTTATGTTCGTTCAAAATTCCCATTAAACATTAATCCTTTATTGAAAATGAAATATAATATTAATTTAAAGTATTTATTAAGAAAAAAATGATATTAAAATATTACAACTTTTATAAAAACAATAATAATCTCACCCTCCGGATGGTAAAAATCCATCATCGTCTTCTTCACGAAATATTTTGTCAAGATCCGGTAATTGATTTTTACTACTCATATTTATAGAAATAAAAATATATTTGATAAAAATTTACAATTATTTAGTTGCAAAATGAAATGAGAGACAAAAAAAAAGTAAAGAATTTTATATGTTTATATCTTGTTTGACAGGTAACCTAACACTTCAGACATTCTGCATAACAGTTTTCTTATTTACCGATAGAACACATTTTTCTTAATTCAAGTAATCGAAATTATTTAATTAATCAAAATCAAAAACTATAAGGAATATATTTAATCACGTAAAAAACTATTAAACATTTATTTTCTATATATTTTTCATAGAATATTTATTTAACTACTATTCAATGTTAACAAAATGATTTTTCATTTTTGGTAATTAAATTATTTATAATAAATTTTTAGATTACTTATTTAGCTGATTCAAATGTATAATGCTTGACACCTTCTTTTGGCCATTGTTTCTCCATCTGAAATTTAATTTATTTCATAAATAATAAAGAAACATTTATAATTTTCGTTATTGAATTTTTTTTTATTAATTTTATTAAATAATTATTAATATTAATTAATTAATATTAAATAATATTTTTTTTTAATTATAAACAATACTCACCACAGATGGAAACCATTTGTAATCATCTACCAACAAAATAAGAATAGAATATATAGCCACATATGCGAAAAATATACACACACCCTGGAAATTAGTAAATTTTTCTCTTTTTCCCATTTCGTCATTTTTGTCTGGACCTAACAAATCATAATCCTCGTGAACCTATATAAATTAAAAAAAAAAGACATTAATTTATTATTCATTAACTATTGTCTATAGAAACTTACAGTCTCCATGTGATTTCTTCTTTCGCCTGGCAGATCCCATGGATAATATGGATCTTTTACAGCATGACCAATTGTTGGAATATTTGGATAATCTCCTCTGTTCATTCCCCATTTATCATTATCAGGAAATGGTATATATTCATCCGGATGGAGATTATATTTTCTAGCTGCTTTACGTCTTTCTTCTTCATTTTTAGGAAATTCACCTGGCATCCAATCTCTCATATTTACTGTTAAAATAAATATTAATTAAAATATTAATTTCAATGACAAAACTTCAATATTTATATAATATAAGTAAATATTTTCAGTGAAAATTAATTTTTATAAATTTTCATTATTTTACAAAAAAAAAGAAAGTAATTGTGGATTCATTTATTAAAAATATAGTTCTTTTTTAAATTTTTGCCATTTATAAAGAATATATATTATTTTACATTAAAAATATATAGATTTTGTTAAAAAATAAATTTTTAATAACAAAACGGACAATTACGTAACATAACCTCAAAAAAATATGGAAAGTAAAGAAATTAAAGGGTTTAGTTGGAAAATTGTAAAATAAATCGAATATTTAAAGAATAGCGAATGTAAAAATTTACCTGCAGTTCGAACACTATTAATAAAATTCGGATTTATTGGTTTAATAGATAATTGTTTTGAAAGTTGAATTAATTTCGTGATTGACGCCATTTTGCATCTGAATACTGTTGTCAAATTTACACACACATACATACACACACGATAAAAGGCAGTATTGATCAATGTTTTATTTATTTATTATTTTGGTGAACAAATTGATTACATTACTAATGAATAAATATATTTTACAATATTCCCATTTTCAAGGAAAAACAATTTTCTCCAATTTGTCGAATTCGGAAAACTTATTAATCAACTATTTTTATTATTTTACACTGTTTAATTGTTTGTTTTTATTGTCGTAGCAATAATAATAAAAAATAAGATAATAAGTTGATAAATTATTTGTTTTCTTTAGGTAAAAAGTAAAATTGTTGTAATTAGTTTAAAATTAGCGGTTAAATTGACGCGTCGCGCGCGCATGCGCATGTGTTCAGAAAGAAAATGGCCGGTAGCGTGTGTGTTTAGAGGTGTTGTTTGACGTGTTCGTTTTTCTAATTATTTGACAAAAGAACAATAAATTATTCGCATGGATAATAAACATTTATGACAAGTGTATTCTCCGGCGTGTTTATCACTAAAATAATACGGTAAGGTTTTCATTTTAATCCTTAAAATTGACTATTCTGCTGCCTCATGTTCAATGATTGAAGGCTTCCCATAGCAAAGTAAAAAGTAATTTATTCTTCTTTTTCATTAATTACTGGCAATTATTTATTGAAAACTATTATTTCTACTTTATTTGGAATCCCTTTAATTGCATTATTTGTCATTAGTGATTTCAGCGTTGTGTAAAGTGTTGAATTTCACACGAATACACTCACACAAATATCATCACATATATACATAACCCTAAAAGTGTTTGCGTGTGTTTGGCGATCTTTATAGATATACATATATCATTTTTGGAGTCTAATCGGGATAATGAATAAAAAAAAAGTGTTTTTAATTAGTGAAAAAAGTGTGAAATAATTGGTGAAATATAATTATTTAGATATTAATACTTAGAAATGAGAAGTTTCAGTGAATACAGATTGAATAATTATATTCCTTTTTTCTACGTTAAAGATTGAACAAAAGTTTAATAATTAATTATAATAGCAAGAAATTCTTTCAGTATTAATAAAATTAATATTAAATTTTGGATTATTAATTTTTTTTTGTTTAATGTAGCAGGAATTAGATTTGAATAATATGGCGAGTCCCTCGCCTCAATCATCGCCGATGCCGCCTCCACAAGCACCGAGTCCAATGGGTCCACCACAACAATCTCCATCGCCTTCGAATCCACAAGGAAGTCCAATGGGACCACCTCAACATCATCCTCAGAGTCCTACTCAAGGTTATCAGCCGCCTCCGCCACCACCTGGAGGACCTTCAATGCCACAATCACAACAATCGGGCCCACCACAACAAAATTATCCGCCCCATCCACAACAAATGCCTCCAAATATGGGACCTCAGGTATATTTCAATTATTTTCAAAATTATTAATTATTTTCCATTTATTTATTTAGTAAGAAAGAAAGAAATTTTTATTCAATATTTACAAATATACACAATATATTGAAAAAAAAAATGAGAAGAATTTAAGAAAGATATTTATTGGTCTCACGTAAATCAGCTTCTTCAAAAAGAGTTACAAGCTGATTTGCAATTTGTTGATTACACGCTGCAATTACTCGAGGAACCATAAGATCTAATTCTTTTCCTATTGGAACAAAAAAAAAATTATTTTTCATTATTAAATTTAATTTTTCTTAAATTATCAAAAACTAAATTATATTCTATTATTTTAATTTTCAAAATTAGATAAAATCTGAGGGCAATAAATAAAAAGAATTTTCGAAAAATATTAAATTATTCGAATCTTTAAATTAAAATTATTTTAATTTAACGATAATATATCGATGGACGTTAAATTAAAATAATTTTAACTTTAATCATTCGATTTAAATTCAAAAAATTGCTCTTTACTAAAATTCTTCTTCAATAATTAATTTTTTCACTGCATGTTGGTGGTAATAATTTTTAATTATTTAAAATTAATAAAATAAAATAATTACCGGACGTATCGAGAATAATTCCTCCAGCTTCTTCGATAATTAATTTTCCCGCTGCAACATCCCATGCTTCGATACTTTCCACGTGATATGCTTCCACTGCTCCCATTGCAACATAACATAACGTCAAAGCTGCGGTTCCCAATGTTCTTATTCTGTAAAATATTTTATTTTCACTAATGCTAAGAAATTTTTTTTTCTCTTTAAAAAAAAGAAAAATTTAACTAAATAAATACCCATGGGTTCCTTGAATCAGTGAATGCATTCTTCTGTAAATACTAACTAAATATTCCTTGTCTTTTGCTATCCAGGGTTCCATTGCTACTAACGCTTGTGATAATTCTAAAAAAAAATTGTCTCGATGCTTCATTTTGGTCGCTTTTATTAAATTAATTAATTAATTATACACTTCAATTTGATTTTTAATATTTTCAGACCTTTCACCGAAGATGTTTTAATTTGTTTTCCATTTAAAAAAGCACCTTTGCCTCTTCTTGCTGAGAAATATTGATTGATAATAGGATTATAAACGACGCCAATTTCAGTTCTCTTATTAATCAACAGAGCTATTGAAATACACGTGTGCGGAAAACGATGAACAAAATTTGTCGTTCCATCAATTGGATCAATTATCCATGTTGGATCGTCTGTTAATTCTGGCAAATGTCCTTCCTTTGCCACTGTTTCCTCGCCAATGAACCTTGAATTAAAATTATTCTTTCAAAAAAAAAAAAAAAAAATCGATATCGATTTATAAAAAGCAAAAAAAAAATATATAACCTTCGCAGAAACCATTTCTGAATAAAATTTAAATTATCTAAAAAAAAATTTTCTAAACTCACTTGTGATGAGGGAATTGTGTCAATAATTGTTGAACTAATGTTTCTTCCACTTGTCGATCATATTCGGTCACTAAATCCCAATCAATACCTTTACTCTCAGCATTTTTTTCTTTATCAATTGCCTCGATTATTACCTAAATGGAAAGAAAAATTTTTTTCTTCGTTATTTTATTTTACCAATATTTTTTAAAATATTTTTTAATTAAATTCATTTTAAATTGAAGAATTATTAATTATTTGAATAATTAATTATTCACGGCACTCTAATAACACGATTTGTATCAAGTTATGCGAATGTATTCATAATTACTCTAAACAATCTCATTTTCACCTTCGTTTCATAGCCTTGACTCTATTCTTTCATTTTCTATAACTACCATAAATTTTTATATTTTAATAAAATAATAATAATAATAATTTTAATGTTAAATTATATAGAAAATCAAACCTCTCCCGCGTTTAAAACAAGTTTCTCGAGAATTTTTGAGCACTCGTCCAAATTTTCCACATGTGCCATGATTTATTATTTTCTTCTTCTTCTTCTTGTTCTTCTTCGATTGTGACAAGGACAAGACAAGTATATGCGTGAACTGGACGGTGACTCGCGTTTGAAACTGAAACGAGAGCCTTCTTTTCTTTAATACTTAAAGAATGAGACACGTTAATTGGTGGGGGTTATAAACTCTAGTCAGATTCCCAAAGTAATTTCCCGTACCACTCGAGAGGTGAATAAATAATTATAAAATTATTCGAATTGAATTTTTTTTTATTTGAAAAAAATTATCGTCTTTGTGATGATGATGATAACGTCATAAATATGGAATTTCCTTGGGACTTGGTTTTAGTTTCTCTCTTTTTTCCGTATTTGAAAATTTCCTTTGGCGCAATTGACGTAAAACTTCTTGTTTTAGATTTCAGGATAATTAGTCGACAATCATTAATTAGATTGATTAATTGAATTGGAATATTTATTGTCTCATATGATGATAATATGTAAATTGAAAATTTGGAAACATTGTTAAGGGAACTAAAATAATTATATTTTTCATTAATAATTTAATTAATATTAAATTATATTATTTTAAATAATAATATTTAAATAGAAAATAAATATATAAAAAATTGAAAAACCAAAATAAACTAAATTGAAATTAATTTTCGTCATTAATTGAATAAATTTACAATTAGTTGAATTTAATTTAAACAGTATTTTTTTATTGATAATTTTGTTTATTAATTTATTGAACGCATTAAATTTTAATCAATAAAGTGATGGGGATTCAAAATCATATATTAATTTTATATTTTGAGTCGTTTATTTAAAATTAATAATTACGAGCTAATAATATATTTAAAAGCTTACAATTATTATTATTTTTATTATTAATTATTATGAATAATTATGAATTACTTAAAGATTGTATTTTCAAATAGTATTCGAAATAATTATAGATGTAAAATTTTAAATTTTCTTCTCTACATTTCTGTCGGCTTCACGAATAATATTGAATATATCATATGCAATTTTTTCATTGCAAGCACCAATTGCCTGTGGTTTCATAATATTGATCTTCTTTCCTGTTTAATGAAATTTAATTGTTTAGAAAATTTCGATTCGAATATTTTCAACAATAATTATTAATTTTATTCAAATAATTTTCAAATTTTAATTTGATTCAAGTTTTATTTGATTTTAAATCGATTTATATATTTATTTGAAATTATAATATTGAATTACCAGTTTCTCTGTCTAATACGACACCACCTGCTTCAGTAATAATTAATGAAGCTGCAGCTATGTCCCAGGTTGAAATTCCAGGTCCTTCAATGTGATATGCTTCGACAACTCCCAATGCAACATAGCATAGAGTTAATGCAGCTACTCCAAGAGTTCGAATTCTGAGAGTGAAAAAAATTCGTTAATTTGATGATGTTCATTCTTTTAAATAATTTACTTCCAATTTGTTATCTATTTTTTTTTTTTGGAGGAAAAAAATCTTACCCCTGCGCTTCTTTAATTATTGCTTTGAGTCTCTCGGTTGTTAATTCTCTCATACTCTCAAGTTTCATGAAACCCAATTCCAAACAAACCAAAGCCCTCGATAGATCTTTTATTATAGGAATATTAAACATTTATTTATTTTTTTTGAAGATAAAAATTTAAATTAATTGTTTGCATATTGTATTATCGTTATATTTATAATGAGAAACAAAAGGAAAATGTTTTACCTTGAATTTTTGACGTTCTAATAGGAGTTCCATTCAAAAAGGCACCTTGACCTTTTCTTGCTGTGAATAGTTGTTCCAATACTGGATTATAAACGATACCAATAACCATTTCTTTTTTAACTGCAATTCCAATCACAACGCAAGTGTGAGGAAAGCAATGAACATAATTTAATGTACCATCGATTGGATCAATGATCCAAGTTGGATCATCAGTCAATTCGGGTAAATTTTTTCCAGTTGATTCTTCAGCTATAAATCTGTTTAATTGTTAAATTTATTTATTTTTGATTAATTAATTTTTAATGAACATTTTTTTATTCGTTTTATTAAAAAAAAAAAAAACGGAAAATTTAGATTCTCATTGATTAATATTCTCAATTTTGATAATTTTAAAGGACATTTCTTTTACTTACTTGTGATTAGGATATTCTTTTTTTACTCTTCCAATTATTGTGTCTTCAATTTTTTGATCGTATTCCGTAACAAGATCCCAATTTGATAATTTTTCTTTGACTGTTTTTCTTCCATTAATTGATTCTCGTAATATCTGAATAATTTAACACTTTTTTTTTTTTATTATTATTGGACTAATTTTCTCAGAATATTGTATCTGTTATTTTTAATTAGTAGGAGATAGAGAGATGAGATGAATCATACATCCTCCTTTATTTACATACACGCGGTAATTGAAATCCAAGAACGGCAATTGCTTCTTATTTTATATACATATGCAATTATACAAAGTCGAGAATAATTGTGTTAATGAATATTTTTTAATTGTATATATATATATATATATTTCTTTTTTTTATAACGTTTGTTTAAATTAAAATCTTCTTTCTCATAATGTATATGTCAAGGTTTTTATAGAATTATTGTTATTTTCTTTTGCAAAGTTCTATTTTTTAATTTGGAGGTAAATTTAATTAATTTTTTTTATTTTTATTTGGAGAAAATTAGAAGTTTTAACTGATATTCGTTGAGTTGAATTTATGATTTAATTTATAATTCAAATTTTTTATAATGCTTTTAATTTTAATAATAAATTAATTCGCAATTTAAATAATTTATTTGTTTAAATAATTTTTCATTTTGACAATTATTTCTTATTTTCTTTAAAACTTTTACAAATTTATTGGAAAGTTTAAAATTTAAATTTCTCTTCCGGTGACTCGTCAAAAATGTTAAATTATTTTCTATAAATATATAAAAAATAATTTTATTAAATAATTTGAAAGAAAGTAATTTAATTTATTTAATCAGATGCTCTTTAATATATTAATTTAATTTGATATTTGTTAGTTTGACAAATTTAATTAATTTTCTGTTAATTTTTATAAATTAAATTATTAATTAATTAATTTGAATTTAAGTAAATATTTTCAAAATTTATTCTATTAAAAATTTTTTAAATGTTATGTAAATATTGTAAACTGCGAATAATTTTTTTTTTTTATAGTTTCCAATAATTATATGTTTAAAAAAAAAGGAATATAGGTATTCATTAAAAAAGATGCATAGACAGAAAATTTTATTATCCTCTGTATAATATTTAATGAGACTTACTTGCCCTGCATCTCGAACAATATTCATAGCCAATTCATAATATAAATCTAAATCGGTTTTCGACATTTTTGTCTCGCTCTGATAAGGATCTCAAGATCCTGTATGAAATAAATATATATGATCGCAGAAAACCGAACAATTCTCAACTGAAGTTATAACTTTTCTTTTCTCGCCTTTTAACTTGAATCGCTTTGTTTCATGTTAACAACATTATATAAAAATATCCCGCTCAGTTTATTTTTTACTTCATAGAGAGAGGTGTTGATATTTTTTCTTCTTTTATTGATTAATTTTTCAATGACTTTTAACTGACAAATTTGTATATTGTCGACGTTGAATTTTACATAATTAAATATTAATATTTAAATAATAATTATTATAACAATTGTTTATTTAATGAAAAAAAAATTATTTTTATTGAATTTGACATTCCTTCATGATAAGAAAGCAATTTTTTTTATTTTCTAATTAAAATAAAAAAAAAATCGTCCCGCATAATTGATTTATTTAACAGAAAACAATTAGAAAAACACGTTTAGCAATTATCTATTAATCGTAATGATTATTTGGGTAATTAAAGATATGAAATATTTTTTCTCCTTTTTCTATACGATTTAAAACTAGTTTTTTTTTATTATTTTCTTATTTGAATAGGCAAAGAGAACATAAAATTTAATTACGTTGAAATAATTTTTAATTATAATTACAAAACAAAGGAACGATATTAAGATAATAATTTAAAAAAATTGAAGCTAAATAAATTACTGATATAAATATTAGGAAAAAATTAAAGCTCCAAAAGTTATTAATATTTATGTTTGATTTTTTTTTCAATTCTTATTCGTAATTATTTTTGTTAAACGTTTGTAAGAATATTGCTTATATAAATCAAAACTTGAATGGCTCTCACGTGTATAAAACATTCGTATCAGATTTGCTCTATATTTTGTATATCTTGCACCGTTAATATAATATAATTTTTAAATTGATAATATGGACACACCCCACAAATGTCGTATGTGTCATTTACATAATTGTTTTATAATTACAACATGCGTTATTTATGAAATGAACGTTTATAAAGTGATATTTATATTTATTTAAGTCAATTTTATTCAAAAAGAAAAAAAAATAGAGAGAAAGACACGTGACAATGATGAAGGAAAATTAATTAATATATTTTGTTGAAATTAACTTTTTTGCTTCATTGTAATTTAACGATATTAATATTTACTATTAATATTTAAGAATAAATTAGTTAAAAACAAAATTATTTTTTAAAAAAAGCAAGAAAATAATAATAACAATAAAAATAATAATCGTAAGAAATATCTAAAATGATTTTTCACTGAGAGTAATTCATGTTAATCTATTCAGTTCCGTGAGGCGTTAATTCAAAGTAATTTTACAATTTTTTTTTCCTCTGTATTTTTTTGTGGTGTTACTGTTCATTTTACACACCTCCATTCGGTTGACATTATACTTTGAACAATTTTGAAATAATTAATTTCACGTGAGAATAACTCATTTGAAACTGATGACAATAGTAACCTTGTTTGTAATTATTATTATATTGTTACGCGCCAGGAAACATAACTATAAAACAAAATTTTAAAAACAGTTCATAAAATATATATTTACTTATAATAATAATAAAATATAAAATTAATTAATAAAAAAATAAAATTGAGAAATAAATAAAAAAAATTTTAATTTAAATTAGGATGAAGTAAATAAAAATCAAAGAAAAATAATGCAAAATATGGGGTTTTAATTTTTTTTTTTTTTTTTTCTAAAATATAATTAATAATTCAACTAATTTAATTTTCTAATACATTATTGTATGGTGTTTTTTCTTTGATTACAAAATTAGTTACAATTTTGTTATAATTTGTAATTAATGTGGAAGATATTTATAGGGATTTTAATTTTTATGTTCTTTTGAGCCTTTTTCGTTGTGTTTGTAGATCAGTGTCAATTATTAATTTTATTGTTTTCTCGTGAAGTTGATAATTTGATGTAGCAAGTATTCCTTGTTGCGATTGCATTATATTGAAAGGTTGACCTATATAAAAAAAAATTTTTCCCCTTAAATTTTTTGAAATAATGAAATCTTTTGTGACTAGTTTGATTTTCAAGGATATATTCTAGAAGTGATTGTATCAGGTTTATGATATTCATATAGTCGTTGATTATATTAAAAATAGTTTAATATTTCAATTGTCGGAGAATATTCATTAGCAATTTATTTAGTAGATATTTTTTTTATTTATTAACATTATTCATAATTATTTAGTAATATTATTTTATATTTATAAAATTGATTAATTATTTAATTAATTCTTTAACAATTGAATATTTAACTAAAAATTTTCCCATTTGAATTAAAGTAAAATTGAGAAAAACATTTTTTTTTACCTTTTGCGTCAGTTAAAACACCTCCAGCTTCTTGTACAATTAATGTACCTGCTGCTACGTCCCAAGGTTTTAAAAGTTGCATTTGATAAATATCGATAATCCCTCTGGCAACATATGATAATGATAAAGCAGCAGATCCATTGGATCTGATTCTGTAATTTAAAAAATACAAAAATTTTTCTCTTAATTTATTAATTTAATGAATAAATTAATAAATTTATTAATTAATAAAATTAATTAAATAAAAACCCAATTAATTAGTTAGACTATTAATTAAATTACCCATGAGTTGTTGTTGCAAATGCTTTTAATCTCTCAACAAATAAATCTCTATTTTTTAATCCATCGTGAAACAAACCAGGATCAGTTGACACTAGGGATGTTTTTAATTCTGAAAATAATTATTTCTAGCAATAATAATATTATTGATGTTATTATTTGTTAATATAATTTTTTTCTTTATTATTATTATTTCTAAGATGAAATTTTTATTTATCCTATCGAAATTAAAATAATTAAATTTACCAGTTGAAGGAGAGGTTTTTATTTTAATTCCATTTAGAAATGAACCTTCGTTCTTTTTGGCAGTGTAGAGATCACCATTGACAGGATTATAAATTATTCCAATGACTAATTCTTTGCAAATTGTTAAGGCTAGAGAAATACAGGATTCAGGATATGAATGAATAAAATTAGTTGTACCATCTATTGGATCAATTATCCATGTTGGATCATCTGTTAATTCAGGAATTTGATCGTCCACTGATTCTTCACCAATAAATCTATTTAAAAAAAATATTTATTAACTATTATAATTGACTGATAAATTTTTATTATTAATTATTAATTAATAAATAAAATAATTATTAATTTACTTTCATTTTTCGTTGTTTTTTGTATTAATTAAAATTTCTTACTTGTGATTAGGAAATTTTTTTGACAATTCACCAATGAGTATGTTTTCTACTTTTTTATCATATTCAGTAATTAAGTCATTGATCCTTGTTTTTAATTGAAATGATTTTTCCACATTGAAGGCAATTTTTATTACCTTGAAAAAAAGCGTGTTAATTTCATGATAATATTATTATTGAAAGGTGATATACATGATAATTAGTAAATGATAATTTTATGCATATAATAACTGCAGCAATTGATAAATAATAATTTATATAGTTTATGTAATTCATATTAATTATTTTCTCATACGAATTTGATAAATTTGATTTATTACTTTTTTTTTAAAATAATAAAATAAATAAAAATAATTAATAGTCAATAAATAAATTATTATTATTTTTTTTAATGCAAAAAAAAAATGATTTATTTTCTAATTAGTGCTTTTTTGAATATTGACAATTTTAATTGCTATATTAAAGAATATTTTATGGCGCAAACAAGAAAAAAAAATGACTCATTTTTTTTTTTAATTATTTTATTTTTTATTTACCTCGCCAGCTTTCAATGTTAATTCCTTAGCGATTTCAAAATATTCTTTAATATCTTTGGCTTCTGACATTGTGTTCAAACTAAAATAAGTGTTAAAAGACACTGATGAATCTGAAAGAATATATTCTGTCCTGTTTTTGCTTATCACTGATATAAAAGATAAAATGTTGCGCGTAAGAGTTTTCATCATCAGACAATGTGACTGTAAAGGTTAAGCTTATTATATTTACACATGGCAAATATACTCATGTATGATTGTAGATATATTCTCTTGGTGGCAAACTTGGTTTATTTTTTTAATTTTCAATTGTTATTTTCTTAAATTAATTTTTTTTTTGAAATTAATATTCGATTTTTTTATTATATAATAAAGAACATCATTCCTAATATAATTAATAATAATTATAATAATAATAATAATGAATTTTAATTATTCATTATATTAGGAATAATGTTCTAATGGAATCATATCATTAAAAAATTTATAGGTGATTATTAAAAATTAAATTCTAGCAATTGAATCTAAAAAAATATTGATTAATTATATACTGGTGAAAGTAAAAATTTATTTACAAAATACAAGTGTACATTTAAATTTTTAATATAATACCGTAAAATTTAATTAAAATTATTTTCTATTACATTTTGTACTAATGTTGCAAACAAATACATATTAAAATCAGTCACAAATTGAAATTACCTCATAATAATTTATTACTTATTTTTTTTCGTTTTTGATTGTCATTTAAATTCGTTATAAAATTTAATTTATAATTAGATTAACGTTGACAGTTTCTTTTCGGAATTTGCAAAATTTTAATTTTTTAAATTTTCGTAATAAAATTATTAAATTGTAAGACTAGAATTTTTTTTTTGTAATTAATGCATCACTATGATGTGCATACTTTTGTACTAATATTATTTTTGTGCATTTGACAGTCGTTTTTGATATGTTTTAGAGTCGGCATTTTTAATTAATTCCACTAAGTCTTGAGCTAATTTATTATTACCAGCTGCCAATACTTTTGGTTTCATTAAATTAAAATCTCCACCTGTTTAAAAGAGAAAAAAGAGTTTTTTGTATTTTTTTGAAATTTTTTTTTATAATTACTTAAAAATTAATTAACTTAATTATAGGATAATATAAGTTATGTTTTTTAAAATTTTTTTTTCCAATTTGTATAAAAATTGAAATTTTTCGATTTTTAATAATTGTTGAAATTTTCTTTACCTGCAGTATCAATTACAACTCCGCCAGCTTCATTTATAATAAGTACACCAGCCGCGACATCCCAAGGCATTAAATTATCGGTATGATAGGCTTCTGCAGCTCCCATTGCAACATGACATAAAGTTAAAGCCGCCGATCCTAATGTTCGTATTCCATGTGCAATTGTAACAAAAGCTTCAAGTCTTCCAAGAATAATATCTCTGATATCTTCTATTGTTGCATATGAGGCTTCGATGCATATCAAAGATTGTGCAACTTCTACAATTTCATTACAAAAAAAAAAAGAAACAAATATTTATTTTTTCCATTCGGATTCAATTTAATATTTTTTTTGTGCTATTCAACTTTTAAACTCCAAAAAGAATTTTTTTTTTTACAAAATTATAGAAAATTGTTTACATTTATTTGAAAGGACAAATTTAAAATATATTTTTTTGGATCCTTACAATAAATTATTTTAAAATAAATGTGCAAAAAAAATTAATTATTATAATTTAATTAAATTAGGTATTAAATTTTTTATATTTCCTTAAATTGCTTCTGGATAAAAGAAAAAATAATATTTATTTGGAATTATAACCTTGGACTTTGGAACTTTTAATACGTTTGCCATTTAGGAATGCTCCTTGACCACGTCTTGCTGTGAACATTTGTTCCAAAACTGGATTATAAACAATTCCAATTTCAAGTTTTTTATTGACAGCTAATGCCACGGAAATACAAGTATGTGGAAATGAATGAACAAAGTTTGTTGTTCCATCAATTGGATCAATAATCCATGTTGGTGCATTTGTTAATTCTGGCAAATTATTTGTCAATGAAACCGTTTCTTCTCCGATAAATCTGAAATTATTTTAATATAAATTAGCTCAAAAAAAAAAATAAATAATTGAAAATTATAAATAGAATCAATTTTTCTAAATTCGATTTAGATTTCTAAATTAACTTCTAAATTGTTTAATTTTTTTTAATCTTCTTACTTGTGATGGGGAAATTCTTTTGTTAGTCCCGATATAAGAATATCCTCGACTTTTCTATCAAATTGTGTCACCAAATCCCAATCTCCTGCCTTTGTCTCAATACATTTTCCTCCTTGAATCGCTTCACGAATTATCTGTAATTCGATTTTTTTTTACATTTTTATCTTTTTGGGAATATTTAATTAAAAATATTGGAAATATTTATTATAGAAATATCCCAAGAATGTTTAAATGAAAATTATTTTTTCTTTGGAATATTATAGGATAATTATATCTAGATATTGGAGAAATATTTTCTTGTGGAATATTGTAAGGATATTTTAATGGAAAAATCATAGAAAATTAATTTGAAATTAAATTATTTAAATGAAATAATTAATTAAAAAAATTTTGTGCCTAAAAATCAGAATTGGTCATTTAAAGTGTATGAAAACAAAATGAAAAAGAATTTTTTTTACCTCTGCTGATTGAATGATTAATTCCATGACGATGTCATAACAATTATTTAATTCTTCCTGAGAGGTCATTGTCACTGTTATGAGTTGAAGACTCTTGAAAACTTGAACTTGATTGTAATCGCGTGCAGCCTTGATCGAGACCAAGAAAAGTCTTAGTAAAAAGTTGTCGATAAAATAGCTGCTCTTTGAATGAAGTACCGTACTTATGGTATAAATCATGTCCCCCCACTACAATTGACAGTTTATTATTATTTTTTTTTCTATCTTTTGTATTATTTTTCTCCATTGTTTATTTTTATTTATTCATTTTTTTTGTGAAAATTATTTTATTATTTGTTCCCTACGACAAATGGTTAAAATTACTTAAATTTATTCAAATTAATTAATTTATATAAAATTAATTTTTCTATGAAAATTTATTTATTTATTTTTTTTTGTTAGTTTTCAATGTTTTTGTTTGAAGATAAATTTTTTTTTTAAGTCGCTCTTAACAAAAAGAGAGAAATTTAAAAATTAAATATTTTTGTGAGTGTTAAAAAAAACACGTGGTTGTCGTGTGTCATTCAACAATAGAAATTAAACCATTCAGCTTTTATTCGTAGAAATATTTGCGACTTGCATGCCTCTCACACGCTTGTGAATATTGTGTGTCACGTTTCTAAGGCATGTTCTAAAGCAGCCCTTTATGACTGGACAGGAAGAATGTTTGTCACTTATCAGTAAACATAAATAATCTCATTTTTTTTCTACAATTTTTCATTTTCTTTTTCAATAAATATTACATCTTTTGTATTCACTTTATTAATTCGAGATAATTAATTTCAAAAGAAGATCCATTCTTAAACAAATATTATTATAATTTATTTATAATTTTTATTCGAATGAATAAAACTAAAAATAGGTTTTATGAAAAAAAAATAATTTTTGGCAAATCTATTTTTATTGTAAAGTTGATGAAAAATTGTGATATTTTTTTTGGGGGGAATTTTCATTGTTCAACTGTCAATTTTTCAATAATTCACTTTAAATATATTATTTATTTACAAAAGGCTATCACGCAATAATGTCGTGGCGCGATGGGCATTGATTTCAGTATTATATATTATGCATTGTTTACCATTAATTGTTCTATTCAATTACATTGCATGTTAATTTTTTTTTTAAAATAATTTAACATTTATCGAATTTCATAATATTTTGATAAAAATTCTCTTATGTTTGGAAAATAATTTATTTCAAATAATCAACAATTGTTAATGCAAATTTATTTAACATATTTGAATTATTATTAATATAGTAATTGATTTTTTAATTTACTTTTTTTTTTATTTGATTAGTTAGAAATTTTTAAAAAGAATTATTAATTGAGGATTTATAGATAACATTTTATTGATTAGTAAAGCTTTTCACTTTTTTAAACAACATTATTTGTTTTGATGTTATGCAATTTAAATCTTTTGTCAATATTAATATTAATGACAATTTCCTAGTTAGATTAAATTGAAACTATCTGAGGGAATTAGGTTTAATTGATAAAATATTATTTAACTTTTTTGAAAAGTTGTATTTTTAAAATAAATATATAATTTAATATCGTGAATAAAATATAAAAAATTTAATATTTAAATAAATTGCAAATTTGAGATTAAAGAGAGATAAATTTAATTTTTTCAGGGTCAAGGAGGACCTGGTCCTGGACCTGGACAACCAGGACCTGGAGGACCAATGGGCCCAGGAGGACAAATGGGTCCGGGATGTCCCATAAATTCACAAATGGGACCTGGAGGACCACAAAATACACAAATGGTAATGTAACAAAAAATTAGTATTGTGTCTTGTATTTTTTAATTTTTATTTATTATTAATTATTTTTTTAATTTAGGGTCAAGGAGGTCCAGGATCTCAACAAGGACCAATGGGTCCAAATCAAATGGGCCCTAATGGACCACAAGGTGGACATCATATGGTACCAGGCGGTCCTGGACAAAATCCACCTGGACAAATGGGACCTGGAGGTCCACCAGGTTAGTAAATTATTTCCATATAAAAAAGTTGTCATTATTTTTCATAATATAATTTATTAGATTTATTATTATGGTTTTTTTTTTAAATATAAATTTTTTATTAAAATATTTTCGTTTCTGTAGGTCATCAATATTCTGGAGGAATGGGGCCAGGCTCACAGCAAGGACCAATGGGTCCAGGACAAATGGGACACTCTGGACCGCAAGGAGTGCCTCATATGGTACAACAAGGTGGTCCAGGACAAATGGGATCTTCAAATCAAAGTGGTTCACCAGTTCAAATGGGACAGAGCGGTCCACCTGGACATCAATTTACAAATTTAGGACCAGGATCTCAACAAGGACCAATGCCACCGGGACAAATGGGGCCAAATGGTCCTCAAGGTGGACATCACATGGGTGGTCCCGGACAAATGGGCTCTGGAAATCAAGGAGGACCAGGACAAATGGGTCCTGGCGCTCCACCCGGTATGTTTATTAAATTATTTCATTTATTTATTTTTATTATTGTATTTTTCCAAAATTTATCATTCCGTAGCATTAAGTAAATAATTTTGTCTATTTTTATTATTATTTTAATAATAAATAATTATTTATAAAATATTATTTTTTTTCATATTAGATTAGATTTATTTTCTCCTTTGTGTACTTAGAAAGTTTTACAATTTTACAAAATATTTTATTTTTAAGGAGGAATGGGTCCAGGTTCACAGCAAGGACCCATGGCTCCTGGACAAATGGGACCTAATGGTCCGCAAGGTGGACATCACATGGGCGGTCCTGGTCAAATGGGCTCTGGAAATCAAGGAGGTCCTGGACAAATGGGACCCGGTGGTCCACCAGCAGGTACTGTTTTATTTTTAATTTTTTATTTGAAATTAAATTTTTTCACATTATATTTTTTTTCATCTATTAATGTTATTGTAGATTTTCTAATGACATTTCTGACAGAAAATTAAAAAAAAAAATTTCTTTAAGTTACTAATATTCTAAATATCTTTTTAATTACTTAAAATTATATTTTGTAATTGTTTAGTATTACTATTATTTTGTTTATTTATTTCTTTTTTAAATAGTTTTTTTCAAAATAAAATCTATTTTCATTGTCGACGACTTAAATTTACAATTACAATTTAAAATTCAATTTCATTGAAACTTCTATGTTGATGTAAAAGAAAAGGACATTGGAAATTAATACATAATAATGTCAATATAGCTTTGTCATTTGTTCTTGTAAGTTCAAAACTTAAATATTTATCGCTTTAGTCAGTCTTGTGACATTATTGTATCATTACAAAACAATTTCTCAAAGCAAGAAACTTAATTTTCGTATAGTAAATATAATTTTAAATAACAATTGTTTTTTTCATGTTCTACTTTTTATAAGGTGTTGGCTGTTTAACTATATTTTATAACGTTTTTTTAACGAGAAAAATGTCATTAATAATGACAGATGTAATTTGAACAAATATTTTCTATTATGGTTCGATTTAAAAAAAATACAATTTTTTAAATATAATTTTTTTTTTTGCAAAACAAATTTTAGATATAAAAAAAAATGGAAGAATTAAAACGTATCAAACGCAGAGACTTTTATGGACGATAATAAATGTTGTGTTGTCTATTTTTTTTTGTTTTTCTTTTTTAATGTAAAATTATCGTCTGTAAAGTTTGATATTTTTTAATTTTTCTTGTTAGGTTATCAATTTTCATCCTTAGGCGGAATGGGTTCAGGATCACAAGGTCCAATAGGTCCAGGTCAAATGGGACCTAATGCACCACAAGGCGGACATCATATGGGCGGTTCAGGACAAATGGGCTCCGGTAATCAAGGTGGTCCAGGACAAATGGGACCCGGTGCTCCACAAGGTTAGCTATTAATAATTATATTAATAATTAATATTTATCAAATTAAAATTAAATAATTATAAAATTAAATTTTTTTTCTAATATGGAAGTATTTTCGAGAAAAAATGTCAGGTTTCGAAACACCAAAACTTTTTTACTTTTTTGATACTTTTTTTTATGTAGGGTTACTTTTTTTTTAATAATTTTGACCAAAAGCTACTAAATGCTTTATTTTTTTTAAAATATGTAAAAAATTTGCCGGAATTGTGTAGTTTTTACATCTATTAATTGATAATTAATTAAGATAATTTTTTTTACAATAATTATGAGCTTTGTAATTTTATTTAAATGCATTATTTTTTTTTTTGATTAGGTCATCAAATGTCGTTCCCTGGTAGTATGGGACCAGCATCCCAACAAGGACCGATGGGTCCAAATCAAATGGGTCCCAATGGACCGCAAGGAATGCCACATATGGTTCAAAGTGGACCAGGACAAATGGGTTCTTCAAATCAAAGCGGACCACCGAGTCAAATGGGCCCTGGTGCACCACCTGGTTAGTAATAATTTATTTTAATTTTTCTAATTGTCTAAACAAATAGTATATTTTAAATAGAATATTTTTTTTAAATTTAGTTTTTAAATAGAATATTTTGTTTAGATTTAGTTTTTAAATAGTATAATTTTTTTAAAAAATAGTACAATAATTTAAATGATTTTGTTTAGGTGCACCAAATCCAATGCCACCGCAAATGGGTCCAGGAGGTGGTGGTCCAGTTGGTCAACAAGGTGCACCAGGTCAAATGGGACCAGGTGGTAGTGGACCAATTATTCCCGGTGGTCCCGGCGGTCAAATGAATCAAAATGCACCGGGACAAATGCCAGGTGCCCCACCACCTGGACCACCGCCAGGTCCTCCTGGTTCGGGACAGGAAAATTTAAATGCCCTACAAAAAGCAATTGACTCAATGGAAGAGAAAGGTCTTCAGGAAGATCCACGTTATTCCCAACTTATTGCACTAAGAGCACGTCAAGGAAATAATATGGGAGATAAACAAACATTTAGCTCACAACAATTGCAACAACTTCGGTATGAAATTTTTTATTTCCTCTTTTCTTTTGAAAAAAAAAAAATATTGCATATTTAAAATAAAAAAAATTGTTTTAAATTGAAAATTTACATGAAATCTAAATTTATGTTTTTTTAAATAGTTTAGATAAATTAACGAGTCATGTGAATAAAATTTGCATTTACTATTTTTTTGTGAATATAATTTTCACTGATAAGTGAGCTTCTAACAATTATATATACTTAGTTTACTGTATTTTTATATTTTACAGTATGCAGATAATGGCTTATCGATTATTAGCACGAAATCAACCTTTGTCACAGCAATTGGCACTCGCTCTTCAAGGTAAGTTTTTTCTTTTTTAGTTGAAAAAAAAAGATTTTTCTTTCATTTTTGGGTGACTACTCTATTTTTTGTTTATTGTGTTTGTTTTCATTTTATTTGTATTTTTTAGTGTTTATTATTTTGAAACGCATGATTTTTACTTGTAGAGTGTAGATAATTATTTTTCCCTTTTCTTTTTTAAATATGTATTTATTTTAAAAAATAGTAATGAGAAAGAAATGTAGAATGTAGAATATTTTTTTTTTTAGTGTTTGTATTGTAAACAGCAAAAAAGTAGAGTAGAATGATCCCGGAACAAATGTTGATTAGTCGAAATAAATTTAACCAGGTGGAGGTCCTCCTCCAGGTATCGTTCAAAGACCAATTGATCCATCACAAGGTCCGACTTCGGGTTCACAAGCACCTGGTGCAAATGCAATGGGTCCTGCAGGAGCGCCAAGACCTGGATCACAAACACCGCAACAACAGCAGCAACAACAACCACAACCTGGAGCTAAAACCAATAGAGTGACAAGTCTCGCGAAACCTGCAGGTCTTGATCCTCTTTTAATTCTCCAGGAACGCGAAAATAGGTAAATTGATTCTTTTTAATTTACTTTCAATTTAATAATATTTTATTCATTCATTTTTATTTCTCTTTAAAAAGAAATTATTTAAGTTTTTTTTTTGGCTAGTATTAATTTAATTTATATAAAATTTGAAACTATTTACGATTTTTATAAATTTTAATTTAATTATTGTTAATCGGAAGTTCGTTCGAAACCAAAAGGTATGAACTGTGAATAAATAACAATATAAAATTTGAATTTGCAGAGTCGCTGCTCGTATTGCACTTAGAATGGAGCAACTTAGCAATTTGCCAACTAATATGCCGGAAGATCTTCGTATTCAGGCGCAAATTGAATTGAGAATGTTGAGAGTTTTGAATTTCCAACGACAACTCAGATCTGAGGTAAGTAAAAATTCATTCATTCATTAAAAATATTAATAAAGTAAATTTTGCCTACAAATAGAAAAATTAAATATTTTTGAAGAGAAATATTTTTTAACCCCGGACAGAAATGTTTCAATAAATTATAATTTTGCAAAAAACAAATAATTTGATTAAGCGATTTTAAATATTAATTTTTTCCCCATTTAGATTATTGCCTGCACTCGTAAGGATACAACTTTGGAAACTGCAATTAATGTTAAAGGCTATAAACGAACCAAAAGGCAAGGTTTACGTGAAGCGCGTGCCACTGAGAAATTGGAGAAACAACAGAAACTTGAAGCAGAACGTAAACGCAGACAAAAACATCAGGTATGTATTTTTCTTTTTTATAATTGTTATCTATTTTGAATTATATATTTATTGATTGGAAATTATTATTTTCTTTTCTTTTTTTTTAGGAATTCCTCAGTTCGGTTCTGCAACATGGCAAAGATTTTAAGGAATTCCATCGTAATAATCTTGCAAAAATGTCACGTCTCAATAAAGCGGTGCTTAATTATCATGCGAATGCAGAACGAGAACAAAAGAAGGAACAAGAGAGAATTGAAAAGGAACGTATGCGTCGTCTTATGGCAGAGGACGAAGAGGGTTATCGTAAGCTTATCGATCAAAAGAAAGACAAACGTCTCGCATTTCTTCTTTCACAAACTGACGAATATATTTGCAATCTCACTGAAATGGTTAAACAACATAAAATGGAACAAAGAAGAAAGCAAGTTGAAGAACAAAAACGTAGAAAGGTAATTTTCAAAATTGTAAACTTTGTTTTTTGATTGTTAATTTTTATATAAATCTAATTCAATTTTTTGCAATTTATTTTTATTCTAATTTTTTTATTTACCTTTTTTACATTTGTTTTTGTTTATTATTAGAAGAGGAAGAGGGACGGTGAAGTTGGAGAAGATGGCACTGTGGAAGATGTGCGAGTTTCTGTTATTGAACTTTCTACTGGTCGCACTTTAACTGGCGATGATGCTCCCATGATGAGTCAACTTCAAGCCTTTATGGAATCACATCCCGGATGGGAAGTGATTGAAACTGAAAGTGATGAAGACAGCGAAGAAGAAGGCGAAGAGGAAGACGAGAAAAAACGTAAGTTTTCGTTTTGGAAAAAGTTTTCCGAAAAAATGTTTAGCCAATAAATAAATAAAGCAAAAAATATTTTTTTTTTTCGTTAAATTCATTAAAATTGTATAATTTAGAATAAGGTTAATAATTATTTTCTTTGCAGATAAAGAAAAGAGTGCAGAAGAAGATGAAGACATGGATGAACATAATAAGGTGAAGAAAACAGTAAATAAGGCAAAAGTTGAGGACGACGAATACAAAACGGAGGAACAAACTTATTACAGTATTGCCCACACTGTTCATGAAAGTGTTACTGAACAGGCTTCAATTTTAGTTAATGGCAAATTGAAAGAATACCAAGTTAAGGTATATATTTTATATTTTTTATAATTTGTAATTTATGATTTATAATTTTGTACAATTTTTGTTATATTAAATAATTTATAAACAATTTTCAGGGTTTGGAATGGTTGGTCTCTCTTTTCAATAATAATCTAAACGGCATTCTCGCTGACGAGATGGGTCTCGGTAAAACAATTCAAACAATTGGCCTTGTCACTTATCTGATGGAGAAGAAAAAAGTCAACGGACCATTTTTAATCATCGTTCCCTTATCGTAAGATAAATTTTCTATTTTTTTCTGCAAAATCTTGAATATTTTTTAACTAAAAAAATATTTGTAGGATTTTTTTTTACAAAATCTTGAATACTGTTTAACCAAAAAAAAATAAATAAAAAATGATTGTAGGACACTGTCAAATTGGGTTTTGGAATTTGAAAAATGGGCACCTAGCGTTGTTGTTGTATCGTATAAAGGATCGCCAGCTGGTAGACGTGCAATTCAATCACAAATGAGAGCAACTAAATTCAATGTTCTCCTAACAACTTATGAATATGTTATTAAAGATAAAAGTGTTTTGGCAAAACTTCAATGGAAATACATGATTATTGACGAAGGTCATAGAATGAAGAATCATCATTGTAAATTGACGCAAGTACTTAATACACATTATCTTGCGCCACATCGTCTTCTTCTCACTGGTACACCATTGCAAAATAAATTACCCGAACTTTGGGCGTTACTCAATTTTCTATTGCCATCAATCTTTAAATCTTGCAGTACTTTTGAGCAATGGTTTAATGCTCCATTTGCAACGACTGGTGAAAAAGTGAGTCTGTTTATTCTAATAAATAATATTTATTTACTATTTGAAATTAATAATAAATTTTGTATTAGGTTGAATTGAACGAGGAAGAAACTATTTTAATTATTCGTCGTTTGCACAAAGTATTGCGACCTTTCCTCTTGAGACGTTTGAAGAAAGAAGTAGAATCACAACTTCCTGATAAGGTTGAATATATAGTTAAATGTGACATGTCTGGATTACAGAAAGTGCTTTATAAGTAAGTATCTTTTATATATTTTAGAATTTTTTTTTTTTTTTTTAATTAATAGTCAATATTTAGAAAATTTGTATTCAAAAAAACTTTGTTTTTCAATACTATTGAAAATGATAAATTTTTATTAATTAGGCACATGCAGAGTAAAGGAGTTCTGTTGACCGACGGTTCAGAGAAAGGAAAACAGGGTAAAGGTGGTGCAAAGGCTTTGATGAATACAATTGTTCAATTGAGAAAACTTTGCAATCATCCATTTATGTTCCAAGCAATCGAAGAAAAATATTGCGAACACGTTGGTACACAAGGTGGAATTGTTGCCGGGTAAGTAATTTTTATTTGATAACTTTTTTTCTATTTAGAAAAGAATTTTTTATAAAATTCAGTGTGTCCAACGGGACTTGAAATCCTTGAAATGTCCTAGAATTATTTTGAACCTTGAAATTTTATAACAAAATCTTGAATTATTAAAATTTATTTATTTACTTTGAAACTAATTAGAAATTTTTCCTTCAAATTCTCCTTTTATTATAGGAATTGTTATTAGTTATTTATCATTTGATTTTTTAATTCTTAAAATGTTAAATGCAAACTAATTTGTTTAATCAAATTTAAAAATATATACAATTTTTAATAATAATAATTTTTTTATTAGTAATAATTAAAGTAATCAGGTATTTTTTTCTCGTGAAAAACGATTATTAGATTCAACAAATTTTTTTTTCATAAAAAAAGGACCTTGAATTTTTTTTCTTTAAATTAATGGACGCACTGTAAAATAAAAATTCAATTTTTATAAATAAGAAAGAAAATCAAAAATATTTATCAAATTTTTAGACCCGATTTGTTTCGAGCGTCGGGAAAATTCGAATTATTGGATCGAATTTTACCAAAATTAAAAGCCACAAACCATAGAGTATTATTGTTTTGTCAAATGACACAATTAATGACAATTATGGAGGACTATTTAACGTGGCGAGGTTTTAAATATCTAAGATTGGACGGTACAACAAAAGCCGAAGATAGAGGTGATTTATTGAAAAAATTCAACGATCCAGGATCGGATTATTTCCTCTTTTTACTGTCAACAAGAGCCGGTGGTCTAGGTTTAAATTTACAAGCCGCTGACACTGTCGTTATTTTCGACTCCGATTGGAATCCTCATCAGGTGAGATTTTTTTTTTTATTTATTCTCTCAAATAATTTTTGAAAAAAAGAAACTAAAATAGAGAAAATTTTTTATTTCAGGATCTACAAGCTCAAGACAGAGCGCATAGAATTGGTCAAAAAAATGAAGTGCGCGTTCTACGTTTAATGACAGTGAATTCAGTTGAGGAGAGAATTTTAGCTGCAGCGCGTTATAAATTAAATATGGATGAGAAAGTCATTCAAGCGGGAATGTTTGATCAAAAATCAACAGGTTCAGAGAGACAGCAATTTTTACAAAGTATTTTACATCAAGACGATGCCGATGATGAAGAGGAAAATGAAGTGCCCGATGATGAGACTGTGAATCAAATGATAGCAAGAAGTGAAGGTGAATTTGAATCATTTCAAAAGTTTGATCTTGAACGAAGACGTGAGGAGGCAAAATTGGGATCACAACGAAAGCCACGTTTACTTGAGGAATCGGAATTGCCCGATTGGCTTGTGAAAGATGATGATGAAGTGGAAAGATGGGCCTATGAGGAAGATGAGGATAGATTTTTGGGACGTGGCTCACGGCAACGTAAGGAAGTTGATTATACATTTAGTCTCACTGATAAGGAATGGATGAAGGCAATTGATGAGGAAGGTGTTGAATATGATGATGAGGAGGAGGATGATAAAAAGAAGAAGAAAACGAGAAAAAGGAGAAAAAAGGGCGAGGAGGACGATGAGCCAATGCCAAAGAAACGAAGAGGCGTTTCTTCGATTCATCCAAAATTAAAGCGTACAATGAAGAAAATTATTGCCGAAGTTGTTGATTATACGCACGGCGCTGATGGACGATTACTTAGTGAACCATTTATGAAATTACCATCGCGACGAGAGTTGCCTGATTATTATGATATTATTAAAAAACCACTTACTATTAATAAACTACTTACGAAAATTGAGGAAGGAAAGGTGAGTTTACTCTATTTTGAAAAAAGAAATTCGGAAATAATTTTAATGTTCGTTTGGAAGAATTTCTTAATTTTTTTTTTTCCTTTTTTTTATTTAGTATTTTGATCTGGATGAATTGGAAAAGGACTTTATGCAGTTGTGCAGAAATGCGCAAATTTATAACGAGGAAGCGTCGCTGATTCATGAAGATTCAATCACCTTACAGACTGTCTTTACGGACGCACGACGAAAATTAGAAATTGAAATGACTATTTCCGAGGACGATAAAGGTAATAAAATAAAAAAATTTGTACAAAATTTCTATTAAAAAATACTTAAATTTTAGTATAATTTTGAAATTTACAAAAAAAAAAAGCAACGAAATTATTGGCAATAAAATGAAATTAATTTACAGACCCCGATGATGGTTCGGATGGTGATTCCAGTGTAAAAATGAAAATCAAGTTGAAACAGAAGAAAACGGAAGGACGCGTGGGAAGGAGAAAGAAATCGACTAAAAAATACATCTCGGATGATGACGATGATGGTGATGATAATTAAAGAGGGAGAGAAGAATTTTTTTTCATTGTTTTTTTTGAGTCCAAAGCAGCTTCTTCGCGGTAAGAATTTTGTGATTTTTTTTTTTTTTAATTAAACAACTTGACATTTAAAAATGCCGATTATTTTTTTCTTTAAAAAAAAAAAATTCTTAAAATAATGAATTACAAAAATTGAATATTTAGCAAACTTTTTTTTTCATCTTACATTCGTTTGATTACAAATGTATAATCACATTTGTCTAGAAATTCCTGATTTAAAAAAAATTCAATTAGCTAAATATTAATTTAATTTTTATCTTTCTTCTTTTTTTTAAATAGAGGAAAGATTTTTTTGTTGTTTGTTTTTGAATTCTAATTCTTTTTCAAACAATAAGTTATTTTTTATAGTAATTTTTGATTAGTTTTTTTGAAAAAGAAAATATTCTCAATTCTTAAATATAATTTATTTATAAACGGCACGACGGAGAAACTCCAAAAATTCATTGTAAGGAGTTTTTTTTAAAAAAAAAAATACAATTAGAATTATGTATTTAATTTTTGGGCCAATTAATTTTTGTTCATATAGAGATAAAATAATTAATCTCTAAATTGTCAAATTTGAACATTAATTTTTTTTACGAATGAATTGAATGATTTTTGATGAATTATAAATATGGGCAATACATTACAGAATCATCGAATCACTGGTTTATAACAAGTGAATGATTGAGTCTTTCATTTAATGAATGAAAGAAAAAAAATAAAAAAACAAGTTTGAATTGTAATTTTTACTACGCTTCTATCTGCGTTTAATTATATATATATTTCTTTTTTTTTTTGAAATTATGCTCATTTTTTTTTATAATGGGCATTTAATTTCAGATATAAAATTAATTTCAAATTATTAGAAAGATTAAATGTTTTTATAATTTAATCTCTGATCGACGTAAAAGAGGATATATATATAACATTGTAGTTTTTTCTGATACTACGAATATTTTTCGTTGTAGCGTATTATTATATAATCTTCGTAATTATGTTTAAGGGAATAAAAAGAAAAAAGTGGTCGGAAGTGATGGATTTTTTGCTTTTATGATCCATTTTCTTTTCCTGAGATAGAAACAAAAAAAAAAAATCTATCAATATCCTAAAAGTTTGGAAAAATATTTTATTTTTTGATTAAAACGATTTTTTTTAAGTGGATTTGGTGAAATTAAAGTGTTCCTACTTTAACGGGGCAAATATTTACATAATGGAAAATAAGCTAAAATTCAGCTTCATTGTAACTATAATATGATGATCCTTTCTTCTGACCACAGGACCAGGGGTAGCAAAAGAGAGAAAAAGAAAAACGACAGAGAGTTAAAAAAAAAAGCTGTGTTAGTCGACTCCATAAATTTCATTCCGTCGCGTTAATTTCCTGTGCGCGTATTCCGAAATTCCTGTGTCGTTTCTGCGTCAGCTTGCTCTGCGGAATCACGCATGAGTTGTGCACCGAGAGCTTATCCGTACTCTCTCGTAGTTCGCCCGAAAAGATTATTCGAGCTGAAAACACCCACGTTAATTTAGAGAGAGAGAGAAAAAAAAAAGTTTTCTCTCACCTGCAAAATATCTCGTGATTTTTCGTATTATACATGTATATATATAATTCTCGCTGACTTGCCACCAATTTTCAAATGTTTTTTTTTTTTTGCATTCATTATTTGCACTCGAGTATATTTTTTATCTCATTTTAGAAATAAAAATGGTTCGTTTATTTCGAAATAATATATATTTTTCTTCCTCTTGTTTCTCTTTAAAAATATTTTTCAATTTCTCTTCATATTCGTTCTGTTAGTTTACATTCTTTTTATATACTTATTACTTTTTTTTGAGACAGGAATTTTTATTTAGCTGAAAAAATATATTTTTTTGCAAAATATTCTCTCTCCCTTTTCTTTTGCCGTGATTTCTTTTTTTTTTGGCGAAAAGATAAACTTTCTCAAAGCTCGCTGGGGGATCGTTTCTGAGTGTCTCGAAAAGTAAATCGGGCTTGTAGATATGTGTCCTCTCATGCCAGACCTTTAACTGAATCTCGACTATTTGCAGGCGGGTACACCCACTGAGAATCAATTACCAGCATCCATGGAACGCGAGTAACAACGTCCCGTATTCCTAAAGTGTAAATAATCCCCCTTATGATCTCGAATTCTGTTTCAATTGTCGGAATATAGTTATATATATATAAAGAGAAAAGCAAGGATTTTTCTCTATAAACATCTAAAGTTAACTTAGCGAAACAAAAAAAAAGTATTCTCGTCTTGAAATTTGTTTTTCCTTTCGGTAAATTTATTTTTTATCTAAAATAAAAATTTCCTCAAAAAAAAAAAAAAAAAACTCAGTTCTAATATTCAGTGGATCGAATTTTATTGAATTATATTAAAATAGCAAAGAATTTTTAAATAATTGAATTTTTCATTTAATTTGGAATTTTCATTTTACAGATTTTAATAGAATTTTGAATAAAAATTTGATTTTTAATCAAATAATAATTCTGTGATTATAAAATTTCAAATTGAGTGAATAATTTCAATCTTAATGAAATTCAATTCAGTGGAAAGTTGAACTAATGAGTTTTTGGATATACATATAATCCTGGGATTCGTTGTTAATTATATTTTAACTTTAATTTTGTTTCTTGCAATAACTGTATTTGCCTATAAAGCAGATGATAAAGTTTCTTGTGCTTCTGGATTTTGTGGTCACGTCTCTAAAGGATATTGTAGTTAAATATTCTTGCGCACCTGGAGTCATGTTTAATTTTTTTTTCCACAATTCTGAATTAAATGTTACGGATTAAATCTAGAAATTCACTATATATAAAAAAAAACTTTTAATATAGAAACATATTTTTCCAAATTTTTATCTATTAATCTCAATTTATTTTCAGAAATTACGCACGTGGGGATATTTTTTTTTTTTCAAAAATTATACTGTAAATAAATTATTTGATTCAAGTAATTTTTATTTGAATCAAAAAAATTTCTTGAACGAATTACTTTGAATTTAAATTAAATAGCGTTTTGTCTAATAATTATTATACAAATAAATTTTTGTTTGACAATAATCGGATTATTTGAATTAAATAATTTGTTTACAGTGTATAAGTATTTAAAAATCATTTATTATTATTCAATTTTATTTTTTTCCTGTACTTTCAGATTCGTATTTTGAAATAAGAAATAAGTAAATTATTTTAATGATTTTAAACCTTGAACCTGGTTACAGATCGATCTCTTCGATTCGGAACGAAGATATGAAGTTCAAATACAAAACGAAGAAAACTACTTAGTGATGAAAAATTTCCCCGGATTAGTTGAAAAAGTGTTTTCTTTTTTTTTTTTTGAAAAACCCAAAGAAATTCGAAATTCGAATTTTGAAATATTGAAAGAGACGAAAGTTGTTTCGGACTTATTTGAAACTAGACGGATTTTGATATTTAAATTCTTTATTCACGTAAGTATGAAAAAAAAATCGATTATAATTTTAATTTAGAGAAAATAAAATCGAAAATTAATGTTCTCGTTTAGGATTGACATCATTTCCCAGTGGAGAAGAAAATAATTTCCATCAATGAATAAGACGAAGTGGTGACAAAATAGAATCAAAATGTGAATTTCAAAATTAAAAGGTCAGTAAAAGAATTAAAAAAAAAAAAATTAATTTCGAAAATCTTGGAAGCAGAAAAAGAAAATTAATATGAAAAAATTTAGGAATTTTGAAAATTCAATTTGGAAAAAATTTTAAACATAGAAGAAGGTTTGGGAAATTTAATTTTGAAAATACACGGCGTGTCCTTTTTTTTTTTTTTGTCTTCATCACGTAAATGTTTCACGAGGCACGTCACGTTGACATACAAGTGTTTTACTGTCTGGCCATTTGAATAAAAGAGGGTCATAGGTGCCAGAAGGGTTCACACGAAACGCGCGGGCTTTTATAGCAGCTCTCTTCTGATCCGCAAGCTCTATATACGCCCGCCACGGGCCACGAAATCTCCACCGGACTGGATAGTTTCCCTTTCCCTATAATATTATACGTATGTCCTGAGTCTAGTCACTCACGTGCACTGGCTCTTGCGCCTGCTGATGGCAATTTCGGTCCTGTTTTGAATTTAGATGGAATTTAGTCCAAGCTGTTACAGAATCCCCTTGATCGTGGACCACGTAGATATATATATATATATATATATATATATATATATATACTCACACTCTAAAAAGACACAATCGTACGCGATACACTTGCATATTACGTTTGCATATAATATTACACTCTCTCACGATACCAACACAAATATTATAAGTTCAATTTAAAAAAAATCATTTTTATTTTCAAAAGAAAATTCGAAATACTTTTTTGCTTTTTTCGAATTTTTTACAAAATTTAATTTCAAAATTCTCTATTAAATTAAAATCCAGTTAAATAGAAATTGTCTTGGATTAAAATTCGACTAAATAAATATTCGGTTGAATAAAATTTTTATTATATTGGTAAAATTCGATTAAATGGAAATTTAGTTAAATTAAAATTCTGCTAAATAAATATTCGGCTGAATAAAATTTGTGGTAAATTAAAATTTGGTTAAATGAAAATGCAGTTAAATTAAAATTCTAGTAAACAAATATTCGGTTAAATTGAAATTCTGCTAAGTAAATATTTGGTTAAATAAAATTTATATTAAATTAAAATTGAATTAATGGAAATTAAGTAAAATATAAATTCTGTTAATAATTAAAATGCAGTTAAATCTAAATTCTTCTAAATAAATATTCAGTTCAATAAAATTTATATTAAATTAAAATTTGGTTAAATAAAAATGCAGTTATAACCCGTGTGGAAAAGTGATGTGGGCCCCCAGCGGGGGCCCTTATGGATCGCCCTCATGCCATGAGGGCCGCATATGGATGATCCATAGGGGCCCCTCATGGAAACGACATGCTCATCGATGAGGGCGCCCGCATGGGCGATCCATGAGGGTGCCCCTACGGGCGCCCTTATGGGCCCTCACGTTTGCCCTCATCTTGCCCTCAAGTTTGCCATAATGTTTTTTAATCAATAATATTAATAATAAAAGTTAATTAATAATAAATAAGCTTAAGTTATGAATAAATAACATATTTATTTAATAATTATTCAATTTTAAATTAAATTCTTACTCAAATTCAATTTATTAATTAACGTTCTAATTAATTAACTGTCGGATATAATTAAAAGTAATAATAAATTAATTAATTAAAAAATTAAAAAATATTTAATTTATGCATACTATTAACGGATATTTTCATTTTTCAATTAATTCATACATAGAATTAATGATTAAACGCAAACCTGAGAAATAAATAAATCTAACGCATGGGGGGAATCGAACCTACGACCTACGGACTATGAGTCTAACGCTTTACCAACTACGCTACGTACGCTACTTCAAAACGAATGCTAACTTCTTGATGCTATTTAAACTTCAAAAATACCTAACAAAGAAAAGTGCTTAACATCATTTAGTTAAAGTTAAGATATTAAATTATATTTTCCAATCAAATGCAATTTATAAAATATAATTAATTATATGCTTTATGATTATTATCATGAATCATCTCAGGCGAATTTTCAAAAAAGTGTAAATATATTTTTATTAAAAACGCGTTTTTCGTTGTTTTAAATCATTGGAAACATTCATTTTTTGTTGATAAAAAAATATTTGATTTTTGGACTTAGAAAATTTTGCTAATCGATCATGAGGGCGATCCATGCGGGCCCCTACGGTGGCCCTCATCTATTTTGCCATAAGTGTGAGTGTTATTTTCAAAAAAGTGTAAATATATTTTTATTAAAAACGCGTTTTTCGTGGTTCTGAATCATTATAAACATTAATTTTTTGGTGATAAAAAAATATTTGATTTTTGGACTTAGAAAATTTTGCTAATCGATCATGAGGGCGATCCATGCGGGGCCCCTACGGTGCCCCTCATGGATTCGCCATAAGTGTGAGTGTTATTTTCAAAAAAAGTGAAAATATATTTTAATTAAAAACGC